ATGAAACAACCTTATCGACATTTTCTTCATTACCTGTACATCAAGAAAATGTTTTTTGTTGTGTATTAATGATAATCAGACATCGAAATTTGTAAATACAATGACAAAGACTCACGTTTATGGTGGTAAATTTTGCGAGGCGATGCCAACATGGCGGCTTAACTTTCTTTTCCGTGCGATGCATTGTGGGAGTCATATACATTTGTATATCTTTCTATTTTTCTTTTTTCGAAAATTTACTTCCCGTTTAATACTGTTGATAACTATTAAAAATACTGATATATGTAGTTGAAAATAAAAATGAAACTAAAATAAGAATGATTTAGAGTAGCATAAAATTTTGACGGAAACAGCCGGGGTGCTCTGTGCTGCTGGACCCTGAAAGAAGACGGCGGCTGAAAGAAGATGGCGGATAATTCATGTAGGTAAGTATCACTATATATATATGTGTTAGCTGAATTTGAAGTCAATACTTATACTGAACTATCAATTGCATTTTTTGCAACAATTCATTTGGAATGAGCCTTCGCGTCTATTGAATTTAGGCTTGACGGCGACGCGCAAGCTGGGCACTGCCGCCATAGCACTTTTTTTTCAAAATATTTTCAAGACCTTTCCCTTGAAGCAGTATGCATTTGAAAAATGTTATGTAAGCATCTAGCACATTTTTGTTGCTTCCGTAAAGTATTTCAGTACTTTGAAATGGATTTATTTTGGAATGATCGTTTCATAATGGTCTCATCGCAGTCACTTCTGTCAGTGGCCCAACAGATCGGAAATTAACCAGAAAAAAAACTTATCCGTAATATTGTACTGTACTACTTACGCTACTGTGAATAGATCTAGGAATCTGTCGGGTAATATATCGATTTTACTTTAAAATATCTGTCACTGTCCGCGCTATTGTAGGTCTAGCTCTTTCAAATTTCTGATCGGAGATAATTTATAAGTACCCCAACGGCCCAAGGCCAGAGTATGAAATCGTACGGGAACTCTACAGCTATGCTAATTTTAAGGTTTACATGTGAAGTTAATATATATAGTTTTAGCTTAATTTTAGTTTTTGTCTTTCTGACATGATGTCTCGTTGATTCTGTTGAAGAGTGATGCATGTGAACGATTACAATATGAAGATTAGGAATAATGAAGATGTCAATTAACATCTGATTCCCGGAAAGTATTTTAATAAAGATTAGGATAAACCTAGCAAAGTGTTAGGTCCCAGTGTGTATGTGTAAAGTTCCAGTGTGAATGTGTAAAGTCCCAGTGTGAATGTGTAAAGTATTATTGGTACAATTGAACTTTTTGATATATGTACTGTATTTGTTCATCTCAGAAATTTCAGTATTATGTCAACTGCGTCCACTTTCAGTTCAACACTTTTGATTCATCAATTTTACCCAGCCCTAGACTCAATATTTGTCATTAATTGTCGACTGTTTTTTAGAGTTTTGTTTTCATGGTGAATGGAATGAAATGAGATAAATAGTCTAACCAATACCCCTCGAGAGCTAATTAAGACATTGCAGTATTATCATTTTGGGCCTTATTAAAAGTCAAATTGCAACTTTTAAGAAACTCAAGTGACTGTAAGTACAACAATAAGATGTCAATAATCAATGAAATTGATTAATTGAGAAGACATTTTCTTAGTACAGTTAACCAGGCTTTGTAGTGGTTTGTTCAGAACTGTTCTGGTTAAGTAACCATTAATTGTGTCCTTTCAGTTACAATGACATACATTTTTGAAATACCTCTACTGTAGCTAAATATGGCATTTGTAATAGACAGCCAACATTAATTTTGTGATAGACATAGCCAAATTTAATTTTAGGATCAGTTAGGACAGCTACTGTTTGTAACAGGCATGGGTTCAATTACATGATGATGTAATTAATGAAATTACAATTATATTATGAAAATGGCATTGTCATTGCATGACGGTCCAATGTAATTAATTAAATTACACATTACCTTTCAAGTCATAATGATTTTTGAAATACAAACGTCAAAATAAATTATCATACTGCACAGATTTATCTCATGAATTTAACTTTATGATTCAATCTCTGTATGACCATGGTCAAGATATTCTTATTTTCTAGCTGTCCATCACTTCATAATTTGACAGTCCTGAATGTCAAAACAATTAATTATATTTAATATAGACTCCTATTGGGAAGTTCAAGACTATAAGCTTATACAGAAGTGTATATTTCTTGCACATAATCATAGCAATAAAGAAATATAGTTATTTATTTGCTTTACTCTCTTTCAGCAGGTGGATGTCCCTGAAGAAATGAAATCTGGAATGGTAGAAATGGTTGATTATTCTAACTTGGAATTGGCCATTGTGACCAACAATGGATTTGAGGACCTTATGGTGGAGAAAAACGTCCTTCTTTCTGACCTCCAATTAGATGTTGAAGATGGTTAATCACTTGAGGATATGCTAACAACCATGTTGCCTTTTAAGGTCACAGTACTCTCTAAAGGCGGCAATATAATTACCATCACAAAAGAAGAATCAACAAATGGCAGAAACTAAAAAAATGTGGAAAAGATCATTGTATGCTGCATTTGTAGTAAATTTCTTTACAATCTTCAATTTACTTAAGTAGAAAGATTCACTAGTTATACCAAGTTTATGTAGAAAGGATCACTGTATACTGAGTTTGTAGTGTACATAGAAAGGTTTACTTTTTTTTTTTCTGAGTTATGTATATACAATATATAAAAAAACTTTTTGTAGAAAAGATCACCGCATACTGAGTTTGTTGTTTACAAATGTGTAGAAAAGATCGCTGTATACCGAGTTTATAGTTTACAATTGTCTAGAAAAATCACTGTATACTGAACATAATACGACTTCTGTTTAAAACCTTCATTTAAACTTAGACATGTATTTTTTTTTATTTATCTTAAAAGTCTACCTACAACAATTTTGTGTATGCAATCTTGTACTAGGATATTGACATGACAAGATTACATTGCTGATCAAAGCATGGAAAGAATACTGAATAAAGAAAACAAGATATAAGCATCTTTATCATGTTTTTATTTTTATTATTATCATTATTATTTTTCCATGATGTCTGTCCACATGGAATTTGTAAGCACTCTTGTGCATTCTTATACCACCAAAAGGGTGGGTAAATCGAATCAAGTTGTCTATCTGTCCATCCATCTGTTTGTCTGTCTGTAGACACATCTTGTCTAGACAACTCCAATGAAACTACAGTAATATTCGGGACAATGTGTAGATGTGCATGCACCATTTTCCCCTGGAAATATTGATTGCCATGGCATCTGGTCAATATAGACAGGTTTTGCATGTCGGTCAACTTCTAAACCTGTGGACCAATTTCAACAAAACTTCGCAGGAATATTAGGGAACATGTGCACATGCCGCTGTGTTTCAGAGGATGTTTTTTTGCAAAAGGTCACCATGAGGAGATAACTAAGGCTGTGGGTGATGGGGGTATTAGTTATCATTTGGATTACAGTTTCAGTTATCCCTGGGCAATGTGGAGAGGATATAGTAATGATTTTGAGGATTGAATGTAGAGGTCACAGTACTTGCATAAGTACTATATGATTACCTTGTAAACGCATTGAGACCAAGACAGTTAGTATACCTTAATCAAATTTGGAACATGTATCCCTTGTGAGGAGAAGTCGGTTTCTTTAGAAATTCAGGGTCAGATATCAAAGATCAAGGTCACAGTCAAAAAACGGATAGTTGCATGGGGGTGTTTTTCCATTGTATTACCCTCGTTTTTCTATCAAATTTCACAACCTAAAAGATATTCACATCTTGTAAATTTCAAGGTTCAAGGTCACTGTAAGGATGTTAAAAAAAATGATAATACAAGAGGAATAAAATATCTTGTGACAAGTTTTAGAGAACAAAGAATATATAAACATGAAAAATTGGAACAAAGTCAATATCTACTTGAAGATTCCCAGAAAAAGTACAAGGAGAATAAGACCAGGTTTTCTGGAAGAATAGGCATCTTCTATTTTAAGTTATGGTGACAAGTCATGTTTGTTTTAGAAAATTGGCACTCTTATGCAGTCATTTACAAACAATCTGGAAAATGAAGCTGTCCAATATTTGTATGTAGCATGTTATTTGCATGATGGTCTAACTAATGGTCTTAAACCAATAGGATACACAGTCTTTAAAGTGATGATATGGTGTCCATGATCAACATTCCCTACAATGTATCCAAAGAAATGGACAACTTACCTATCATTGCATCTTGGAGCCTACTTGGGACATGTATTACATAAGTAATACTACTATGCTTGTTATTTCTGATATCTGCTGGTCATTTTTTATGGGCTGCAATGATTTACTGATTGCATATAGTTGGTTTCAGTATATAGCAAGCTAATAACAAAGAATTTATTTTTTAATGGTCTTAGCATACCAGTACTTTCAGTACTTTGATTAAAACAAAAAATATCCTTTATTTTCCAACATTTGCAAATCCAGGTTAAAACTTACCTTGAGCTTAAGGTTACTGGTTTTTACCAGGTCACAAGAGTTGAATTAGTAATGTCTAATGAAGAAGTACCACACAGAAAATTTCATTAGATTTCCAAAGAAATTTGTTTTTGATTTTCCATTGGAATAAATTCCATAAGTATTCTAACTCCAGTAGGCATTGCATAGATGAGGATAATTATTTAGAACCCAGGAAATGGACAAAGTAGTAGACAGTAATTTAAGTTTGTTTCATGTTATGTGTGGTGGGGGTGGGGGGCATTATAATGTTGTCTCACACTGTCGAATCCTGCCATCACATCCGATTTGTGATCCCATCACAAATTAATGTCTGTACTCGCTTCTTCATTTGTTAAGGGATTTTCATGAGACCTTATACAAAGGTCAACAACAGCAAAACCTTTCATGGGTGCTTGTTTCAAAGTTTGAAGAAAAGGTTACAGTTACTATTTATAGAAAATTATTCTCTAATATTTCCTTATTTCAGATATGAGAAAAACAGAATCTACACATACATTGGGGAGGTGGTTGTGTCTGTTAATCCATACCGGACGCTGGACATCTACAATAGTAGTTATGTCGACCAGTACCGGGGACGTGAGATTTACGAACGACCACCACACATATTCGCCCTGGCCGACAGTGCTTACAAGACGATGAAAAGGAACAGTCGCGACACATGTATCGTCATATCAGGTATTCAAATAGTGCCATTAAGCTTGGTCACCTTGTTTACCTTTCTATGACTTTCTGAAACTACCCATCTCAAAAAAATGAGACAAAATGATCAATTAAGATTGAAATAACATACAATCTAGGTAATGATGTTTGGCCAGTAGATCTAGGTAATGATGTTTGGCCAGTAGATCTAGGTAATGGTGTTTGGCCAGTAGATCTGGGTAATGATGTTTGGCCAGTAGATCTAGGTAATGGTGTTTGGCCAGTAGGTCTAGGTAATGATGTTTGGCCAGTAGATCTGGGTAATGATGTTTGGCCAGTAGATCTAGGTAATGATGTTTGGCCAGTAGGTCTAGGTAATGATGTTTGGCCAGTAGATCTAGGTAATGATGTTTGGCCAGTAGATCTAGGTAATGATGTTTGGCCAGTAGATCTAGGTAATGATGTTTGGATCTGGGTAATGATGTTTGGCCCAGTAGGTAATCTAGGTAATGGTGTTTGGCCAGTAGTTCTAGGTAATGATGTTTGGCCAGTAGATCTAGGTAATGATGTTTGGCCAGTAGATCTAGGTAATGATGTTTGGCCAGTAGATCTAGGTAATGGTGTTTGGCCAGTAGATCTAGGTAATGATGTTTGGCCAGTAGATCTAGGTAATGGTGTTTGGCCAGTAGGTCTAGGTAATGGTGTTTGGCCAGTAGGTCTAGGTAATGGTGTTTGGCCAGTAGGTCTAGGTAATGGTGTTTGGCCAGTAGGTCTAGGTAATGGTGTTTGGCCAGTAGGTCTAGGTAATGGTGTTTGGCCAGTAGGTCTAGGTAATGGTGTTTGGCCAGTAGGTCTAGGTAATGGTGTTTGGCCAGTAGGTCTAGGTAATGGTGTTTGGCCAGTAGGTCTAGGTAATGGTGTTTGGCCAGCAGGTCTAGGTAATGGTGTTTGGCCAGCAGGTCTAGGTAATGGTGTTTGGCCAGTAGGTCTAGGTAATGGTGTTTGGCCAGTAGATCTAGGTAATGGTGTTTGGCCAGTAGATCTAGGTAATGATGTTTGTTTGGTAATGATGTTTGGCCAGTAGATCATGTTTAGGTGTTTGGCCAGTAGAGGTAATGGTGTTTGGGTACTAGGTAATGGTGTTTGGCCAGTAGATCTAGGTAATGGTGTTTGGCCAGTAGATCTAGGTAATGGTGTTTGGCCAGTAGATCTAGGTAATGATGTTTGGCCAGTAGATCTAGGTAATGGTGTTTGGATCTGGGTAATGATGTTTGGCCAGTAGATCTAGGTAATGGTGTTTGGCCAGTAGATCTAGGTAATGGTGTTTGGCCAGTAGATCTAGGTAATGGTGTTTGGCCAGTAGGTCTAGGTAATGGTGTTTGGCCAGTAGGTCTAGGTAATGGTGTTTGGCCAGTAGATCTAGGTAATGGTGTTTGGATCTGGGTAATGATGTTTGGCCAGTAGATCTAGGTAATGGTGTTTGGCCAGTAGATCTGGGTAATGATGTTTGGCCAGTAGATCTAGGTAATGGTGTTTGGCCAGTAGATCTAGGTAATGATGTTTGGCCAGTAGATCTGGGTAATGGTGTTTGGCCAGTAGATCTAGGTAATGATGTTTGGCCAGTAGATCTAGGTAATGGTGTTTGGCCAGTAGATCTAGGTAATGGTGTTTGGCCAGTAGATCTAGGTAATGGTGTTTGGCCAGTAGGTCTAGGTAATGGTGTTTGGCCAGTAGGTCTAGGTAATGGTGTTTGGCCAGTAGGTCTAGGTAATGGTGTTTGGCCAGTAGATCTAGGTAATGATGTTTGGCCAGTAGATCTAGGTAATGGTGTTTGGCCAGTAGGTCTGGGTAATGATGTTTGGCCAGTAGATCTAGGTAATGGTGTTTGGATCTGGGTAATGATGTTTGGCCAGTAGATCTAGGTAATGGTGTTTGGCCAGTAGATCTAGGTAATGATGTTTGGCCAGTAGACTACAAAAATCAGTAAAATAAGAATAGAAATAAAATTCACATAAAAATGACGGTAAAATAGAAGTAAAAATAAGTAGGATAAAGTAAAATAGAAGTAAATTTAGTAAAAGTAAATAAAGATAAAATAGACGTAGATTTTTGAAAAGTAAATAAAGATTAAATAGACGTAGATTTTTGAAAAGTAAATAAAGATTAAATAGACGTAGATTTTTGAAAAGTAAATAAAGATTAAATAGAAGTAGATTTTTGAAAAGTAAATAAAGATTAAATAGACGTAGATTTTTGAAAAGTAAATAAAGATTAAATAGACGTAGATTTTTGAAAAGTAAATAAAGATTAAATAGACGTAGATTTTTGAAAAGTAAATAAAGATTAAATAGACGTAGATTTTTGAAAAGTAAATAAAGATTAAATAGACGTAGATTTTTGAAAAGTAAATAAAGATTAAATAGACGTAGATTTTTGAAAAGTAAATAAAGATTAAATAGACGTAGATTTTTGAAAAGTAAATAAAGATTAAATAGACGTAGATTTTTGAAAAGTAAATAAAGATTAAATAGACGTAGATTTTTGAAAAGTAAATAAAGATTAAATAGACATCAAATTTATTTTACAAAAAGCTATAAACTGTTCCAATTAATTTTTATATTACAGGTGAAAGTGGATCAGGTAAAACAGAGGCTTCCAAAATTATCATGAGATACATCGCCGCGGTGACCAATCTTAGTGGACAGAAGGAAGTGGAAAGGTATATATATTGTTTACCTTAATATACCATAGAATCATCTGTTTATCTCTATTTCTCTGGAAACTAACATATAGATTCCCCTGTTTGTCACATCAAGTCCCAGAATAAAAGCCTTTTCATCGGGATTTATTTTCATTAATGGATAACCATCATCATGAATTTCTATATACATTAAATGATAGAGAAATATATTTACAAAAATTGTTAGTAAGACATGTCTATGAAATCATTTACTTGTGAAAATATATATTTTTGGAAACTGTAAAATGAGAGCCTACAAACTTGTAAAATTTTTACAGTAAAACAAGACATGTCACAGGAAAACAAGACACGTCACAGGAAACAAGACACGTCACAGTAAATCAAAACACGTTACGGTAAAACAAGACATGTTACAGTAAAGCAAAACAAGACACATCACAGGAAAACAGACACGTCACAGGAAACAAGACACGTAACAGCAAAACAAAACATATTGGAGCAAAGCAAGGCACATCAGAGGAAAACAAAATGTATTGCAGCAAAGTAAGACACATTACAATAAAACAAGACATGTCAAAGTAAAACTAGACATGTTACAGTAAAGCAAGAAACGTCGCAGGAAACAAGACATGTTATAGGAAAACAACACACATCACAGGAAAGCAAGACATGTTATAGGAAACAAGACATGTTACAGTAAAACAAGACATGTCACAGGAAAACAAGACATGTTACAGGAAAACAACACACATCACAGGAAAGCAAGACATGTTATAGGAAACAAGACATGTTATAGTAAAACAAGACACGTCACAGGAAAACAAAACATGTTACAGTAAAACAAGACACGTCACAGGAAAACAAGACATGTTACAGTAAAACAAGACACATCACAGTAAAACAAGACATGTTACAGGAAAACAAGACATGTTACATTAGAGCAAGACATGTTACAGGAAAACAAGACACATCACAGTAAAACAAGACATGTTACAGGAAAACAAGACATGTCACAGGAAAACAAGACATGTCACATGAAAACAAGACATGTCACAGGAAAACAAGACATGTCACAGGAAAACAAGACATGTAACTGTAAAACAAGACACATCACAGTAAAGCAAGACACATCACAGGAAAACAAGACACATCACAGGAAAACAAGACATGTCACAGTAAAACAAGACACATCACAGTAAAACAAGACATGTCACAGGAAAATAAGACACATCACAGTAAAACAAGACATGTCACAGGAAAACAAGACATGTTACAGTAAAACAAGACACGTCACAGGAAACAAGACATGTTACAGTAAAACAAGACATGTGACAGGAAAACAAGACACATCACAGGAAAGCAAGACATGTTACAGTAAAACAAGACATGTTACATTAAAGCAAGACATGTTACAAGAAAAAAAGACACATCACAGTAAAACAAGACACATCACAGTAAAACAAGACATGTCACAGGAAAACAAGACATGTCACAGGAAAACAAGACATGTAACTGTAAAACAAGACACATCACAGTAAAACAAGACACATCACAGGAAAACAAGACACATCACAGGAAAACAAGACACATCACAGGAAAACAAGACATGTCACAGTAAAACAAGACACATCACAGGAAAACAAGACACATCACAGGAAAACAAGACATGTCACAGTAAAACAAGACACATCACAGTAAAACAAGACATGTTACAGGAAAATAAGACACATCACAGTAAAACAAGACATGTCACAGGAAAACAAGACATGTTACAGTAAAACAAGACACATCACAGGAAAACAAGACATGTTACAGTAAAACAAGACATGTGACAGGAAAACAAGACACAGTAAAACAAGACACAGGAAAATAAGACACATCAAGTAAAACAAGACATGTCACAGGAAAACAAGACATTACAGTAAAACAAGACATGTCACAGGAAAACAAGACATGTTACAGTAAAACAAGACACGTAACAGGAAACAAGACATGTCACAGGAAAGCAAGACGTGTTACAGTAAAACAAGACACGTCACAGGAAAACAAGACATGTCACAGGAAACAAGACATGTTACAGTAAAGCAAGACATGTAAAGCAAGACATGTCACAGTAAAGCAAGACATGTCACAGGAAAGCAAGACAACAGTAAAACAGTAAAACAAGACACATCACAGGAAAACAAGACATGTTACAGTAAAACAAGACATGTGACAGGAAAACAAGACACATCACAGTAAAACAAGACATGTTACAGGAAAATAAGACACATCACAGTAAAACAAGACATGTCACAGGAAAACAAGACATGTTACAGTAAAACAAGACATGTCACAGGAAAACAAGACATGTTACAGTAAAACAAGACACGTAACAGGAAACAAGACATGTCACAGGAAAGCAAGACGTGTTACAGTAAAACAAGACACGTCACAGGAAAACAAGACATGTCACAGGAAACAAGACATGTTACAGTAAAGCAAGACATGTCACAGGAAAGCAAGACATGTCACAGTAAAGCAAGACATGTCACAGGAAAGCAAGACATGTTACAGTAAAACAAGACACGTCACAGGAAAACAAGACACGTCACAGGAAACAAGACATGTTACAGTAAAACAAGACATTTAACAGTTAACAGGAAAACAAGACACGTCACTGGAAAACAAGGCATGTTACAGCAAATCTCTTTTTGGGTTTAGCTTTTATCCCAGTGTAATATTAAATAGACTGCTTAAACATTATCTTAATAGGTTTTTGCAGTGATGTCTTTTAATCTGAGATATAAAATTGATAGCTTGATAAACTGTTGACAGTAAAAGAAATAAAAATTTAGAAACAAATCAGCTGGAACACTAAATTTGTACAGACTTTATGACTACATACTCAGAAATTTTTTATAACAAAATCACATGATGATATCTATTGAAATGTTTTTACAGGAATGAGGTAGAAAGGTAACTCGATTGATTGTGTACACTTAATCCATCTCTACAGAATTTGTGAATGTCTGTCATTATCTGTGCATGCACTATTTGATGAAACACTATGTCTTTATACAGAGATCATCTCTGCGATTTTACGGCAAAGTCACCTGTCTAAAGACCCATCTCTGTGTCAGATCCACTCTGAATCATTAACAGTCATAGATCCTATCTTGTCACTTTCTCTGGTTGTACTTGACAATTATATGTAACTGAGTATTTCAGTGATGTATTGAATTGATTCATTTTGATTCTCCATGTCAGTTTCAAAATTGTAGTTGTTATAAAATTGATATCCTTGTTAGTAACGATCTTATGATTGGGAAATTGAAAAATAGTTTCAATGATTAAATTTTAGTTATTATTTCTAAGTTGTGATCAATTTTCCATGTGCTTTTTCTAAATTTGTGTTAGAAGCTTGTGTTCATTCTGAATTTCTTCTCTGCTTATGTACTACATGTAATTGCTGTATTGATAGATTGGGTTTGTTGAATTTGTCATAAAAAATAAAAAATAGATAATCCCATTTCATAGATCTCATTAAACACAATTAAGTTACCATGTCTGATTTTGTGTTTTATTTCTTTTAATCTCTTTGCTGTGAATTTAACAAATCACAATTTAAATTTTGAGTCTTTATTTTCATAAAGATATTGATTGCAGTTTTATATTTGTTCTTGAAGATCTGGAACAGCCTTGCTGTCTCTGTACACTGATAGATTCTGCTACACCTTATCACATCTAGCCTACCTTAGAACGCCAAACTTTACTGCCTACAACTAGTGCCTCATAAATCTCTCATCGTATTTAGTTTCATCTCTGTATTTTTTTGTACCCAGATTTTAAAATCTCTGATTTTTTTCATTGTGAACTTCCATTGAAATAGTTTGTTGAAATTTTCTTTATAATTCAGATAAGTTATTATATCTACCTAACTTTGTATTTATTGTTACTTGTTTATCATTGTTATTACAGGAACAGTTATTATATCTACGTAACTTTGTCTTTATTGTTATTTGTTCATCATTGTTATGTTAGGAACGTGTTTAATTAATTGAATCATGTTTTATTTTGACAATGAAATTATGTTCAAAGTAATTGTGGAATATCACACTCGTTTCATTGTAATCAACATCGATTTGTAATGCTGAAATATTTTGGAACAAGATTACAGCACAATATCTAAACTTGTCATGTAACTGGCTGGTATTGATTGATATAGTAAGCCTGTCCTGTAGACATCCATTGCCGAGGGTCTGTTCACTATTACAGTAGAAGTCAATATTAAACAGCCATCATGCTGGGCAACGTTAAACAGCTGTTCACACTGTCACTTGTTAATGCAAAATCTCAGCTTTTCAAAACAATTCTTTCGGAAAAGGATCACTCGATCCGTCTGTTACCTGGTATAGGTTCTGTGTTCTAATTTTATCACAGATTCTGACAAGCAGCCAGAGTAGAATTTTTGCATGTATTATAAAACCTTGCCATAAATAGACAGTATAATTCCTAGTCCCTAACATTGTATAAACTGGATGATTGAGGAAGCTGGTACCAAAGTCAGACTGAAACTTTAATTGAACGATTAGGTTTTCACAGTTCTACAGCCTTTTTATATAAAACAAACATGATAATAAGCAATTACATTAAACTTGATTAAACATTCGGAAGCTTTGTATTCTGTTTTCAAGAGTACGATACTGATATTAAACAGCAATGACAATGATTGGACCAGCAACAAAGTCGTCTTCAAGACAGAGTCAGTATTTAGTCACAATCAGGATCCATTTACATCTATTTCAGGAAATCCATGTGTCTTAAAACTCTCCTCTGGCAAAAATAAAGTAAAAATGTTAATAAATGTGTTTCTATCATTATAAAAAATTGGACAGACATTGTGTGATATCAAGTTGTCTTAATATCTGATATGTGATGCGACTTGTAAACCTTGATTAGCATTAAAAAAAAGACAAAAATAATTATAATGAATTTGCAAATTTAGCAAATTAAAAACACTCATGGCTGTAAGCAATTACACAGTATATAAATTTGTGTTGACATGTCAATATGTGTTTGCTTTCATTGATATTAAAATATTTTCAGAGTAAAGGATGTTCTCATCAAATCTAACATCATCCTTGAAGCATTTGGAAACGCAAAAACCAATCGTAATGACAATTCCAGTCGTTTTGGCAAGTACATGGATATCAACTTTGACTTCAAAGGTGATCCTATTGGTGGACACATCAGTAATTACTTATTAGAAAAAGTAAGTGATTCATACTTGACTCAAGTAATTGTAAGTTAACAGTGACTCACTTTGAAATAGTCACTTTGGTTACCAGTGACTCCCTGTAACTTGCTTTAAAAAAGTGACTTGAGGTACCAGTGACTCATTGTAAAGTAGTAACTTAAGTTACTAATGACTCACTGTAAAATCATGACTTTGGTTATCAGTTATCAGTGGACTCAAGTTACCCATGGCTTGCTGTAAAATAGTTGCCACTGACTCGTAAAATAGTGACCAAAGTTACCACTGACTCGTAAATTAATGACTTGAGTTACCAATGACTCATTGTAAAATATTGATTTAAGTTACCAGTGACTGATTGTAAAATAGTGACTTTAGTTACTAATGACTCACTGTAAAATTATGACTTTGGTTATCAGTGTCCCACTTTGAGATAGTGATTTATGTTACCAGTGACTCGTAAAATTTGTGACTTTAGTTACCACTGATTTCCTCAACAAGTGACTCCTCTCAGAGGAGATAATTGACCTAGATCTTAACACAATATCTCCCTTAAAAACTTTAATGAACTGAATGAAATATCAAATCATTTTCATAACAAAATGATCAACTCTTTCATGTATATGTAAATTAATATATATAAAATGAAAGTTAAATACCTTTAACAAAAAGCTGCATAATAAAATCTTCTGCCATCAATATTAACATGTGTATGTTATATTTCAGTCTCGAGTTGTTCATCAACAGATGGGTGAGAGGAATTTCCATTCCTTCTACCAGGTATGTACTGAATCAGCTCAGGTAATAGTCTGGATCCAATCACAGTGACAAATTATAGGTACAAATGAAACAGACCAGAGGGTTTCATTTCTACAGTCTGACACAGTGACAAATTGTAGGTACAGATGGTACAGACCAGAGGGTTTCATTTCTACAGTCTGACACAGTGACAAATTATAGGTACAGATGGTACAGACCAGAGGGTTTCATTTCTACAGTCTGACACAGTGACAAATTGTAGGTACAGATGGTACAGACCAGAGGGTTTCATTTCTACAGTCTTACACAGTGACAAATTGTAGGTACAGATGGTACAGACCAGAGGGTTTCATTTCTACAGTCTGACACAGTGACAAATTATAGGTACAGATGAAACAGACCAGAGGGTTTCATTTCTACAGTCTGACACAGTGACAAATTGTAGGTACAGATGGTACAGACCAGAGGGTTTCATTTCTACAGTCTTACACAGTGACAAATTGTAGGTACAGATGGTACAGACCAGAGGGTTTCATTTCTACAGTCTGACACAGTGACAAATTATAGGTACAGATGAAACAGACCAGAGGGTTTCATTTCTACAATCTGACACAGTGACAAAGTATATGTACAGATGGTACAGACCAGTGGGTTTCATTTCTACAATCTGACACAGTGACAAAGTATATGTACAGATGCTACAAACAAGAGGGGTTTGTCATCGTCAGATTGTAAATATGACCTTCAACTTTCGAATTTGCTGTTCCCTCCTGTCTTTCAGTAAAGTAAAAATATCTTTGTTGTGATACTGTTTGGTTGGTTGTCTGGAAAGCTAGGTATGAGGAAATCAAATGTTTGCTAACAAAGAAATTTTTGTAATTTCCTTATTTGTAGTTACTGTATGGTGCTAAGGATGAGAAGCTAGCGGAACTGAAGTTAACACGAGACCCCATGAAATATCACTTCATCAGACAGGGCGGGGATCCAAAGGTACTATATATGGGTACATGTGAAAACAGAGAATTATCTTCTGCAGATCCATTTAGATAATGTAAACATAATTGGTTCAAGTATTGAAATTTCAGGTTTTTTACTTCTAAGTAAAAATTTGCACGAGAATTCATAAATTTGTTATTTCACCAACAATATCAGAAATTTGAAACCTATCACTAAGGTCATGATTGAAGTGCTGTTGATGAAAATTTCTTATATTGCATTTAAGTATGGTATTGAACCTGAAAAATGTTCAACTATTTTTATATATTGTTTATTATAAGTTTGTTTCAATTCAGTTATTGATATTATCCATATAGCTTAGCAGAAGTGAATATTGTAACTGACACAGGGGTTGGTCATATCGCTGAGAACAAGTGAATATTGTAACGAACACAGGGGTTGGTCATATCGCTTAGCAGAAGGGAATATTGTAACTTACACAGGGGTTAGTTGTATAGCTTAGCAGAAGTGAATATTGTAACTAACACAGGGGTTGGTCATATAGCTTAGCAGAAGTGAATATTGTAACTTACACAGGGGTTACTCATATAGCTTAGCAGACATGAATATTGTAACGAACACAGGGGTTGGTTATATAGTTTAACAGAAGTGAATATTGTAACTAACACAGGGGTTGGTGATACAAGTTAGCAGAAGTGAATATTGTAACTACCAGGTAACAACGGGGTTGGTCATATAGCTTAGCAGAAGTGAATATTGTAACTAACACCGGGGTTGGTCATATAGCTTAGCAGAAGTGAATATTGTAACTAACACAGGGGTTGGTGATACAACTTCGCAGAAGTGAATATTGTAACTAACACAGGGGTTGGTGATCAAGCTTAGCAGAAGTGAATATTGTAACTAACACAGGGGTTGGTCATATCACTTAGCAGAAGGGAATATTGTAACTTACACACGGGTTAGTTGTATAGCTTAGCAGAAGTGAATGTTGTAACTAACACAGGGGTTGGTCATATAGCTTAGCAGAAGTGAATATTGTAACTTACACAGGGGCTGGTCATATCGCTTAGCAGAAGTGAATATTGTAACTAACACAGGGGTTGGTGATACAACTTAGCAAAAGTGAATATTGTAACTTACACAGGGGCTGGTCATATAGCTTAGCAGAAGTGAATATTGTAACTAACACAGGGGTTGGTGATCAAGCTTAGCAGAAGTGAATATTGTAACTTACACAGGGGTTACTCATATAGCTTAGCAGACATGAATATTGTAACGAACACAGGGGTTGGTTATATAGTTTAACAGAAGTGAATATTGTAACTAACACAGGGTTTGGTGATCTAGCTTAGCAGAAGTGAATATTGCAACTAACACAGGGGTTGGTGATACAACTTAGCAGAAGTGAATATTGTAACTAACACAGGGGTTGTTGATACAACTTAGCAGAAGTTAATATTGTAACTAACACCGGGGTTGGTCATATAGCTTAGCAGAAGTGAATATTGTAACTTACACAGGGGTTGGTCATATAGCTTAGCAGAAGTGAATATTGTAACTTACACAGGGGTTGGTGATCTAGCTTAGCAGACATGAATATTGTAATTAACACAGGGATTTGTCATATAACATATCTACACAAACGTAATCTAGTCATACTGACATCAATTCATTACAGTGTGCAACGTTGAATGACCGTGATGATTACCGTGCTGTCATGTCTGCCATGAAGACAATGGGATTCGCCTACAGCAATGCTGAGGCCTTGTGGAGGGTTCTGTCTGCGATCCTACAGCTGGTACTAAAACAATACACTTAAATAACAGTAGTGACTCTTGGAGTTATTCCCTCAAAATTTCTTCTACACTGAATCTGCTCTGAATTGCCTTGTTCTATATACAGTAGTCACATTCATAACATTACAATTAAAAATTTTATCTAATATTCATGTTTCAATTTGGATGTTTGACTGTTTTTTTTTTTTTTTTTTTTAAGTTGAATAGCAAGTTAGTAATTGGACTTATTCTCAGTGTACTTTTTTAGGATTGTCTGTGTCAACCTTTGGGTGATGTTTTATTTTCCTGGAACTAGAGTTTAAATGGATTCTGTTGACATTGTGGGATTGTTTATTTTCCTGGAACTAGAGTTTAAATGGATTCTGTTGCCATTGTGGGATTGTTTATTTTCCTGGAACTAGAGTTTAAATGGATTCTGTTGCCATTGTGGGATTGTTTATTTTCCTGGAACTAGAGTTTAAATGGATTCTGTTGCCATTGTGGGATTGTTTATTTTCCTGGAACTAGAGTTTAAATGGATTCTGTTGCCATTGTGGGATTGTTTGTTTTCCTGGAACTAGAGTTTAAATGGATTCTGTTGATATTGTGGGATTGTTTGTTTTCCTGGAACTAGAGTTTAAATGGATTCTGTTGATATTGTGGGATTGTTTATTTTCCTGGAACTAGAGTTTAAATGGATTCTGTTGACATTGTGGGATTGTTTGTTTTCCTGGAACTAGAGTTTAAATGGATTCTGTTGCCATTGTGGGATTGTTTGTTTTCCTGGAACTAGAGTTTAAATGGATTCTGTTGATATTGTGGGATTGTTTGTTTTCCTGGAACTAGAGTTTAAATGGATTCTGTTGATATTGTGGGATTGTTTATTTTCCTGGAACTAGAGTTTAAATGGATTCTGTTGACATTGTGGGATTGTTTGTTTTCCTGGAACTAGAGTTTAAATGGATTCTGTTGACATTGTGGGATTGTTTATTTTCCTGGAACTAGAGTTTAAATGGATTCTGTTGATATTGTGGGATTGTTTATTTTCCTGGAACTAGAGTTTAAATGGATTCTGTTGACATTGTGGGATTGTTTGTTTTCCTGGAACTAGAGTTTAAATGGATTCTGTTGACATTGTGGGATTGTTTATTTTCCTGGAACTAGAGTTTAAATGGATTCTGTTGCCATTGTGGGATTGTTTGTTTTCCTGGAACTAGAGTTTAAATGGATTCTGTTGATATTGTGGGATTGTTTGTTTTCCTGGAACTAGAGTTTAAATGGATTCTGTTGATATTGTGGGATTGTTTATTTTCCTGGAACTAGAGTTTAAATGGATTCTGTTGACATTGTGGGATTGTTTATTTTCCTGGAACTAGAGTTTAAATGGATTCTGTTGACATTGTGGGATTGTTTATTTTCCTGGAACTAGAGTTTAAATGGATTCTGTTGACATTGTGGGATTATCATTGTTGTATTTGTGTGATTTGAAGATAGAATTATTGATGTACCATTATCAAGAGATGAATGTGTTTTCAGGGAAATGTGGAATATGGAACAAGTGAAGATCATGATGTGGCATTTGTCCAAGACAAGAAGTTGTTGAGCAACATAGCAGCCATGTTGTCAGTAAGCCCTGATGAACTCGAGAAGGCGCTGTGTTACCGTGTTATTGCAGCAGGAGGACAGATTGTTGAGAAGGGACTCAGTACATCAGAAGCTCTGTATGCCAGGGATGCCTTCAGCAAGGTTAGTATGTCAGGGATGCCTTCAGCAAGGTTTGTATGTCAGGGATGCCTCCAGCAAGGTTTGTATGTCAGGGATGCCTTCAGCAAGGTTTGTATGTCAGGGATGCCTTCAGCAAGGTTTGTATGTCAGGGATGCCTTCAGCAAGGTTTGTATGTCAGGGATGCCTTCAGCAAGGTTTGTATGTCAGGGATGCCTTCATCTAGGTTAGTATGTAAGGGATGCCTTCATCTAGGTTAGTATGTAAGGGATGCATTTACGCTGTTTTTATCCTGTTCCTTTCAGTCTAAAGGTTGTGTTTGTAATGATATCTATAGTTATGATTAACATTGTATTCCTTTCACTGTTTTAGATCTGAGACACAGTCCAAGGTATAATTTTGTCAAATTGTGATCATCAATCTGCTACCACCTCCACCATAGGTCAAGGTGATCTGTTGAAATCATTCTTTATCCATTGTTGTGAAGATGTTACCTTAACTAAACATGCTTGGTATACGGCCATATATCAGTAAGATTTTGGACTAATTCAACAATGAGACAAATTCAACTATAAGTACAGAGTTATGGCCCTTTCCAGGTTTATTACCATTGGACCTTGTGAACATGGTAACTTAGGTAAATATGAACGGATTCCAATAAAACATAGTATGCAGCTTACTATAACTGAGCACTAGGATCTGAAGAACTATGGGACTGATTCAGTTGTAACTTACAGAGTTATGGTCCATTGTAATGTCTTACCTTTTCAGTAAATGTCTGGGAAGTACCTTGACTGTTGATTAGATGGTATACAATAATGGTGTGCTACACAACAAGGCATCTAATGCTTTAATATTTCTCGTCTTCATTTATTTTACAGGCAATTTATGACCGCATGTTTTCGTGGATTGTGGCACAGATCAATGAGGCTATTGACCCCAAGGTCAGCGGGGTAGGCTATGTCGGAAAAAACACAGTCATTGGCGTCCTTGACATCTATGGATTTGAAATCTTCGACAACAACAGGTGAGAGGTTTTACAAATTTAAAACACATGACAACAACAGCAGAGAGATTTTACTAACACAAAAATGTTTACTTTTCATCCATGTTAGATCTTTGTGTATCAACTCTGGTACATCTGTATAAAACTGCAGTGTTTTGAAACAATCTCTTGATGTAATGATATCTTTGATATCATGTTTTTGATTGCACTGTCTGCACAGAAACACCAGAAATCTACCAAATAATACTTCTTTGCATGTGAAATCAGGTTTTAGAAACAAACTGAAAGCTTACTGTAGAAAAGTTTTAGCCCACCTCATTGTCTGTGGTCTGTCTGTTCATCAGTATATAGTTATTGTTATCACTATTTCTGGAAGTACTTGATGGATCTTTCTCATATTTCACAAATTGGTTTCCTTCGTCCCTAGTTGTGCCCTTACAATTTTGAGATTGATCCGAGAAAACAAATGGTAGACAGGCAACTATCTTGGATATGATATTAAAGATTATCACTTAAGAGGAAATACACAGGAAAGAAGAAAAAAGGAACGGAAAAGATCAAACTTGGTATTGACCATGATCCCTCTGGGATAGCTTGTGTTCAAGATATAAGTGCATTACATAACTACCCACAATGCTTTTATTACCCACAATGCTTTAGCCTATTTCTGATAGAAATGAAGATGGCAGCCACACATGACAGCACAATGTATTATATCCAGTTTAAAATTTCACAGATTTTTTATACATCAGTATTTATAATCTGCTTAGTTCTACTTGAAGTCAGAATGTTGTTCAACAGATTTCTCATTGTATCTATTGCAGCTTTGAGCAGTTCTGTATCAATTACTGTAACGAGAAGCTCCAGCAGTTATTTATAGAGCTGGTACTGAAACAGGAACAGGAAGAGTATATGAGGGAGGGGATACAGTGGACACACATCGAATACTTCAACAACAAGATCATCTGTGACCTGGTTGAACAACCACATAAAGGTGTACTGGCTATCCTTGATGAAGCCTGCCTAAGTGTGGGCAAGGTCACTGACGAGGTATTGTAACTGTAGCCAAATAATATAATCCCAGTCATGGCTATTTGTGTCCATCAGAAATGTGACAGGTTCTGTTTGCTTGTCCTGGTTTAAGCACTTTCCCTGTTTCGTTGTGCTGATCCCATGATCATAATGTCAGCCCACAATGTTTAAAGTGTCAGTAATATTATAAAAACACTAGGAAAGCTGTGTTGGTAGAACTGTAGGAATTCGCTCACAAAATTGTTTAAACTATTATTGGTACAACTCAAACTTATTAGAAGAACAGAAGGATTTCACAATCACAAAACAAAATCATAACTAGTAGTGGTAGATCTGTAGGGTTTATTTTCACAAACATGGAATCATTATTCTTATTATGGATGAACTCAAACAAGAAACCATTTGTGATAAAACTGCAGGTTTCCATTGTCATCTGACATTATTTCTCGGGGTTATCGGGCACTTGTTATTTTCAGGAGCTGAAAAATTTACTGTGTAGTGTGTCGTTAGAATTTCTCGGTTTTCCTAACATGATGTCTTTTAACATGTGAAATAAGATATGGCATTCCTCTTTTAGATACGATATCAGACCCTGGGGTTCTTGTAATTAAATGTTAGGGTGAGATGTTTTTGTTTAAATTAATTGTGCTATTTGATGTGGTTTTTTTTTCAGATGTTTTTATCGGTGATGGCACAGAAACTTGGCAAGCATGACCATTTTACATGTAGAGAGGTAAGTGGGATATGGTGATATATATGTATCTAACAGCCAAAATCTTCTTCTTTTTAAATCTTTTTTCTTATTTTTTCTTACTTATCATTGCCAGCTTACACAGTTACCTGGACACAGAAGAACTACTCTTACCTGTGACAGAATACAACATATGTATCAGGCTTGAACATTTTTTCATTGATAAATGAAGGCATCATCTGTTAAGCCGACATCACTTAAAGGGAGATAACTCTTTCATTTACATGGCAATCAGGTTCTTATTCATTAGATGTACAGTTTGTAGGCAGTGATGTTACTGAATACAGACTTATCGTTATAATTTTAGCTTATTATCTGTCAAATATGACCATAACCTTCACGTTATAAAGGTCTCCTGTATTAGACAATATTGTGAAATTAGTCATTTTTGTGGGGTTTTTATGTTTATTGATTTCATGGACGCTTAATCCATAATTCAAATGTCCTTCAACTGATATCATTAGTTGTAAGACATTTATTCAGTGACATTTATCCATGAAATCAAATGTCCACTAAATAATGGGCTTTTTTCTTCTTATTTTATTTTTTATTGATTTTTTTGGTTTTAGTGAGGGGTGGGGGGCACTGAATTCCACAATTTTAAACAATTACTTACTTTTCAATCTAATGTTTTAATTGTTATTGTAATAATTGATATCAAATCAAAACCACTAACTGGGGATTTTCTGTATTAGTAACAGTGATGTATTAGATAAGAAGGATATTCAATAGTGAACTGCATGAAATATCAGCCTTCAATAGCCGTATACCACTTAATGTTGATATATATTATGATATTATTGAATTTAAAAAATACTTTAAAAAGCCAAAAAACAGAGACTTAGCTGAACTTAGAAAACCGTAAAAACTCTTTGCACAGACAATGTATTACAGTACTGCAATTTACCGGCTAGAATCCATTAACATGTTTCCTTTCTGATATGTTCATAACAATCAGTCTTAATGTCATTGTGCCTTAGTGAAGGTTTTCTCTCTGGTTCAACTGTCAACTATTTTGATGTGATAGTGACATAAAAATGACTTTGGTTTAGAAACAAAATCAACAATATATTTATAGTTTCTCTGTGTTAGTTTTTGATCTCAGTAATGTTATTTTAATCATGGCCCGATTTTACCAGATAAAGAATGTTGATTTATATTGATATTGATGTGAGATGAGAAAATGGAACAATAAGTTTGTTTATGACTAACGAAATCAAGTAAACAAAATAGTGAAATATATTCTGGTGTCTTGTTACGTTAATATTTGTCTAATTGTGTAAGTAATTAGCATCACTTTATGAACTGTTCTGATTAATCTACATTTTACCGTTTCAGCTGATATTGTAGTAGTAGACATTGTGTTGATTACACTTATAATAAACAAAAGTCGGACGTGTAAATAACTGTTACAGCTAGCCCCATCAGACAAGACTTTGGAACACAGTCGGGATTTTCGAATTAAACACTACGCTGGTCAAGTGCAGTACAGTGTCATTGGTTTCATTGACAAGAACAAGGATACGTTGTTTCAGGACTTCAAACGATTACTCTACAACAGGTAAGATAGCAAACGATTACTTTACAGAAGTTGTTTCTGTAAATAGTAAAGGTAGAACCACTTCTCTTGTCAAGACTTGTGCGAGGCTGTATAATCCGACAATAATTGCACAAGACGGTTTTACCAGAGCAGACGTGTACTATAGATTCAGTGAACATTGGTATATTGTCAGTATAACACAGATCGAGAGAATTTTACTACACTGTCATTATGTGTATGTGGTATAAAAGGAATTCCTGTTTTACAGTAAAGAAGCACTGTTGAAGGAAATGTGGCCAGAGGGCAGCCAAAAAATTACAGAGACAACAAAACGTCCTACAACAGCTGGAACAAACTTCAAAAACTCCATCATAGCTCTGGTGCAAAACCTTGCCTCAAAAGTAAGTGAAAAACAGACTGTATGGAGAGGTACAATTGTACTTCATAAACAATGCTTTTCATCAGTTAATTGGGATTATCTGTTTTACACATTTTGGCTGTCAATGATTTAACTATTTATAAGGTCTAGTTATAATCATTTGTAGTATGGCTTATCCTCCACTAAAGTGACTAAGATGGACAGTGGTTACAGCAAGTTGTCAGACAGTAATGTGTAGTATAGAGGGATGGACACTAGGTAGTATAGCATGGTGTACTGGAAAAGGAATACAGTCCATATTAGACTGTTTAGGGGTACAATCCTTGGAGATGTATAGTTAATTAAATAAATAGTAAACAAACTTTATTTTACTCACATTTTATGATAAACAAAATATATTGATTAGTTTGAAAAATTTCAAAAATTCATTTAATCCTGGAAAAAATGTTTTTTTAAGCATTCTCGTTTGCTTTGTAGGAACCTCACTATGTCAGATGTATTAAGCCAAATGAGATCAAGTCTCCGTCACGCATTGACACTGAGCGTGTCCAACATCAGGTGATGTACCTTGGCCTGCTTGAGAATGTCCATGTACGGAGGGCTGGCTTCGCCTACAGGGCTGGATATAGCAGATTCCTACAGCGGTATAGAGTGAAAATTATCTTTTCTATCTAGCAATGGTTGATGTTTGTTAAACTCATAGAAACAGTTCATATATTTGCCATCAGACATTATGTTATATATCTTAAACATCAGATAACTTAACCATCAGGTCCCAGTTGTTCAATGGCTTGTTAAAGATAACCGGTGATAAGTGGCAATTTTCAAACAAGAATTGAAGAAAATTAGAAACATTCATTTCACTGTTGTAACTTATTGAAACAGGTCAGCTTGATATATTTTGAGTGTTAATTTTGCATTTAATTATTTTGTTTGTTATGGTAACCATCAGCTATCCTTCAGTTGATGGTTATGTATCCAAATGGCCATGCCAAAATTCTGACATGCTCATTTGTTTATATATAATTGGCTTAAAACTTTGTTTCAAATTAAAGACCTTTCTGAAAGCACATTGATTTCGTTTCCTTAACTTTCAGATACAAATGTACCACTAAAGGAACCTGGCCAAACTTCCGAGGACTTGATATTGATGGTGTGAAAATGATCATTAACCAGTTCAATTATAACGACGATGTTAAGTACGGGAAATCCAAGATATTTATCCGCTCACCCCAGACGTTGTTTGCCCTTGAGGAAGAGAGGGACAGGTCTTTACCAAAGATCATAATCTTCATGCAGAAGGTGCACAATCAATGTATTTAATGAAACAAAGAAAATGGAGTGGTATATTATTATATTTCCTGCTATGATTAAGATGTGTAGTAAGGGTTGTTATTGTCTTTGATGGAATAAAGTTGAACAAAAAACAGGTTACCACATATATTTAGTTACCTCAAGCTTTTTTTATAAAAACCCATTTATACAAGTTTTTTGATAAAAATCTGTTTTTATAAGTTTTTTGATAAAACTCTATTTATACAATATATTGGAATCACTATGTCTATTTATATCTTTATACAATAGATTGGAAGCATACAAGTTTCAAACTAATATTTTCATTTTAATTATAAAATATTGATTAATAATTTGAATAATTATTAGGTATTTTGTTAAATATTTACCTTGTTTTCTTTTGTTTTTTAATCTACAGGCATGATTTGGTCACTTCAAAGTACTGACAAAACGAAAATTGTATAACCTGAAAAATAGAAAATTAATTGGATTCTGAATTAAAATAAAAGGAACATATAGTAAAAACGTCTTTTTTAGAGAAAGAATGGACAGCCAATGTTATATCATGATAAAATATCAGTACGAATGTCCAGCTTGACCTCACCAATTCTTACAAAAGAAATGTTTAGATTATAGAACTTGATTCTTTTGGTCAGATGTGGCGAGGAGCTAATGCTAGACGAAAGGCAAAGTTCATGCGGGCAATCTATCTGATCATGTCACGGTTTAGAAAGTACAAGATGAGGCGCTACATCAACAGCTGTGTGGATCGCTTCAGGTAAGTCTCCATTAGTCACTGTGTGGTAACCGTTCTCAAATTCTCTTAAACCACTTCAGGTAAGTCTCCATTAGTCACCTTGTCGTAATCACTCTCAAATTCTCTTAAACCACTTCAGGTAAGTCTCCATTACTCACCTTGTGGTAACCTCTCTCAAATTCTCTTAAACCACTTCAGGTAAGTCTCCATTAGTCACCTTGTAGTAACTGCTCTCAAATTCTCTTAAACCACTTCAGGTAAGTCTCCATTAGTCACCTTTTAGTAACTTCTCAAATTCTCTTAAACCACTTCAGGTTAGTCTCCATTAGTCACCTTGTGGTAAATACTCGGAAATTCTCTTCAACCACTTCAGGCAAGTCTCCATTAGTCACCTTATAGTAGCCACTCTCATATTCTCTTCAACCACTTCAGGTAAGTCTCCATTAGTCACCTTTTAGTAACTTCTCAAATTCTCTTAAACCACTTCAGGCAAGTCCCCATTAGTCACCTTGTAGTAGCCACTCTCATATTCTCTTAAACCACTTCAGGTAAGTCTCCATTAGTCACCTTGTAGTAACCGCTCTCAAGTTCTCTTAAACCACTTCAGGCAAGTCCCCATTAGTCACCTTGTAGTAGCCGCTCTCATATTCTCTTAAACCACTTCAGGTAAGTCTCCATTAGTCACCTTGTGGTAACCGCTCTATTATTCTCTTAAACCACTTCAGGTAAGTCTCCATTAGTCACCTTGTAGTAACCGCTCTCAAGTTCTCTTAAACCACTTCAGGCAAGTCCCCATTAGTCACCTTGTAGTAGCCGCTCTCATATTCTCTTAAACCACTTCAGGTAAGTCTCCATTAGTCACCTTGTGGTAACCGCTCTCATATTCTCTTAAACCACTTCAGGTAAGTCTCCATTAGTCACCTTGTGGTAACCGCTCTTATATTCTCTTAAACCACTTCAGGCAAGTCTCCATTACTCACCTTGTGGTAACCTGTCTCATATTCTCTTAAACCACTTCGGGATAGTCTCCATTACTCACCTTGTGTTAACCACTCTCAAATTCTCTTAAACCACTTCAGGTTAGTCTCCATTAGTCACCTTGTGGTAAATACTCGGAAATTCTCTTCAACCACTTCAGGTAAGTCCCCATTAGTCACCTTGTAGTAACCGCTCTCAAGTTCTCTTAAACCACTTCAGGCAAGTCCCCATTAGTCACCTTGTAGTAGCCACTCTCATATTCTCTTAAACCACTTCAGGTAAGTCTCCATTAGTCACCTTGTAGTAACTGCTCTCAAATTCTCTTAAACCACTTCAGGTAAGTCTCCATTAGTCACCTTTTAGTAACTTCTCAAATTCTCTTAAACCACTTCAGGTTAGTCTCCATTAGTCACCTTGTGGTAAATACTCGGAAATTCTCTTCAACCACTTCAGGCAAGTCTCCATTAGTCACCTTATAGTAGCCACTCTCATATTCTCTTCAACCACTTCAGGTAAGTCTCCATTAGTCACCTTGTAGTAGCCGCTCTCATATTCTCTTAAACCACTTCAGGTAAGTCTCCATTAGTCACCTTGTGGTAACCGCTCTCATATTCTCTTAAACCACTTCAGGTAAGTCTCCATTAGTCACCTTGTGGTAACCGCTCTCATATTCTCTTAAACCACTTCAGGCAAGTCTCCATTACTCACCTTGTGGTAACCTGTCTCATATTCTCTTAAACCACTTCGGGATAGTCTCCATTACTCACTTTGTGTTAACCACTCTCAAATTCTCTTAAACCACTTCAGGTTAGTCTCCATTAGTCACCTTGTGGTAAATACTCAGAAATTCTCTTCAACCACTTCAGGTAAGTCCCCATTAGTCACCTTGTAGTAACCGCTCTCAAGTTCTCTTAAACCACTTCAGGCAAGTCCCCATTAGTCACCTTGTAGTAACCGCTCTCAAGTTCTCTTAAACCACTTCAGGCAAGTCCCCATTAGTCACCTTGTAGTAGCCGCTCTCATATTCTCTTAAACCACTTCAGGTAAGTCTCCATTAGTCACCTTGTGGTAACCGCTCTCATATTCTCTTAAACCACTTCAGGTAAGTCTCCATTAGTCACCTTGTGGTAACCTCTCTCATATTCTCTTAAACCACTTCGGGATAGTCTCCGTTACTCACCTTGTGTTAACTGCTCTCAAATTCTCTTAAACCACTTCAGGTAAGTCTCCATTAGTCACCTTGTGGTAACCGCTCTCATATTCTCTTAAACCACTTCAGGTAAGTCTCCATTAGTCACCTTGTGGTAAATACTCGGAAATTCTCTTAAACCACTTCAGGCAAGTCTCCATTAATCACCTTGTGATAACCGCTCTCAAATTCTCTTAAACCACTTCAGGTAAGTCTCCATTAGTCACCTTGTGGTAACTGGTCTCAAATTCTCTTAAACCACTTCAGGTAAGTCTCCATTAGTCACCTTGTCGTAACCACTCTCAAATTCTCTTAAACCACTTCAGGTAAGTCTCCATTAGTCACCTTGTAGTAACCGCTCTCAAATTCTCTTAAAGCACTTCAGGTAAGTCTCCATTAGTCACCTTGTAGTAACCGCTCTCAAATTCTCTTAAACCACTTCAGGTAAGTCTCCATTAGTCACCTTGTTGTAACCGCTCTCAAATTCTCTTAAACCACTTCAGGTAAGTCTCCATTAGTCACCTTGTAGTAACTGCTCTCAAATTCTCTTAAACCACTTCAGGTAAGTCTCCATTAGTCACCTTGTAGTAACCGCTCTCAAATTCTCTTAAACCACTTCAGGTAAGTCTCCATTAGTCACCTTGTAGTAACCGCTCTCAAATTCTCTTAAACCATTACGGGATAGTCTCCATCAGACATTGTAATCACTCTCAAATGTTCTTTTTGTATAACAAGCTCTGAATTATTTGGTTTTTGCCCAATAATGCCTTTTAAGTGTCCAATAGTATTTTGACCAGTAGATACTGACCTTCAGGGTTACTGTTTACTTATATTATACAGCTTTGTTGTGGTACAGTGTAATTATTTCATTTATTATGTACAAATCTTATGTTACTAAAGTTTGTCCTGTTAAAAGAGCAATTGTTTTGACAACAACCTGATGTGACTTCAGTGATTTACTGTTAGTGACAAGAATGTAGTGTTTGTTGATTTTGTCGCTCCTAGGAATGTCCGTAAAATGAAGGACTTCGGGAAGTCCATACAGTGGCCGAAGCCGCCGTCCGTACTGGAAGGTATGGTGGCCATGTTACAACAGACCCATGGACGGTGAGTGAGATCTCTCCTATTAATGAAATACCAGTGAAATGGATGAAATGATGGTTTCTCATAGATTCTTTGTGGATTAAAGCAGCCTTGTTAATACACATATACCTGCCAACTGATTATTTTTAAACTGGTACAGCATAGCTGGTAATATCCAATTAATGTAGAACAAAATTAGATATCTAGCCTACATTTTTAACTCGTCAGTAATTTCCAGGTGTAACTTTGAGAGGAAGTGTTTATGATGTATAAAGGGCATGTTTATGATGTATAGGTGTCATGTGTATGATGTATAGGTGTCATGTGTATGATGTATAGGTGTCATGTGTATGATGTATAGGTGTCATGTGTATGATGTATAGGTGTCATGTGTATGATGTATAGAGGGCATGTTTATGATGTATAGAGGGCATGTTTATGATGTATAGGTGTCATGTGTATGATGTATAGAGGGCATGTTTATGATGTATAGAGGGCATGTTTATGATGTATAGAGGACATGTTTATGATGTATAGAGGGCATGCTTATGATGTATAGAGGGCATGTGTATGATGTATAGAGGGCGTGTTTATGATGTATAGAGGGTATGTTTATGATGTAAAGAGGGCGTGTTTATGATGTATAGAGGGCATGTTTATGATGTATAGAGGGCATGTTTATGATGTGTAGAGGGCATGTTTTTGATGTATAGAGGACCTATTGATGATGTATAGAGGGCATATTGATGATGTATAGAGGGCGTGTTTATGATGTATAGGGGGTGTGTTTATGATGTATAGAGGGCGTGTGTATGATGTATAGAGGGCGTGTTTATGATGTATAGGGGGCGTGTATATGATGTATAGAGGACATGTTTATGATGTATAGAGGGCATGTTTATGATGTGTAGAGGGCATGTTTTTGATGTATAGAGGACCTATTGATGATGTATAGAGGGCATATTGATGATGTATAGAGGGCGTGTTTATGATGTATAGGGGGCGTGTTTATGATGTATAGGGGGCGTGTTTATGATGTATAGAGGGCGTGTGTATGATGTATAGAGGGCGTGTTTATGATGTATAGGGGGCGTGTATATGATGTATAGAGGACATGTTTATGATGTATAGAGCGCGTGTTTATGATGTATAGAGGGCGTGTGTATGATATATAGAGTGCATGTTTATGTTGTATAGGTGGCGTGCACACATGATTCTCAGAAATCAGCCTAAGTCAGAATGGCCTGTACTAAGACTCAAGGTCACAGCACAGGATGTTCTCAGAGGACAAAGGTCAGACTGGGGATACCGCAGGAAGTGGGAGGCCAACTATCTTTCATCTGTAAGTATTATTAGGGTTAGACACACTAGTTGTGTAGATGTTGAATGTCATTCAAGTTGTGAAAAAATAATAATTTCATTTTTTTCCCACTGGTTTTGGGTGTAAATCTGTGTGTTTCATGTTGTTACCACAAGCATATCAACATCTTCAAATTTGAAAGCAGAACCCTTGGACTTTGAAGATGTATTATCAAAAGTGTATTTATGTACCCCACACATAGTAAATAGGGGTTTATATAGGAATTACTTTTTCACTGCTCCTGTGTGTGAGTGCAGCTGTATATCAGTGTGTGCATGCAAAGCTTTTTCAAATACCTTATGAAGCCTTGAACAAATTTCTTTCATATTCACACCATAGCATTATATTTTATACCTGATGATTATCATTTGATGGTCATTGGTAAAGGTCAAAGGTCACCCTTGACCACTCATGAAATGAAAACCTTGTGTATAAGATATCTCATGAACCCCTGGACATATAAACTTCATTCATATTCACAGTAAAACAAGAAGAAGGTCTACACCTGATAATATTTTGGTGGTCAAGGTTAAAGGGCCAGAGGCCAAACTTGACCAGCAGTGAAATGAATAAGTAAAGTAAAAGATGTTTCATTATCCTCCAGACAGATTGAGTAAAAAACATGAAGATTGATTTAATGGGTTTTATGTCCACTATTATGGCTTCCAGCCTTTCAGCAGACAATAATGATAAATAAACAAGAAGGTAAAGGGGGGGGGGGGGGGGGAGTTTTATGTGAGTCTGTGCTTGCTTCGGTTTTGTTTATTTTTAAGTGTATTATTTGTTATATCTTAAACCCTGGCTTTCTACTTGATCTCATAGTATAACAGACATGTTAACTGTATATTGTTAATGTTGTGCCTGATCTGGTATTAAAATATTTTATCTATAATCATAAATATAATATGGTATAGCAAAAGATGTGTGACTTCTGGTCATTCTAAATAAACATTCTAAATTCTGCGGGAGGGGGACGGGGGAAATGAGAAATAAATTGACAGAATTTTTATCACTGATAAGATATTGTTTATCTGGAAATAAGATTTAAACTCTCTGATTCAGGGTTTTAGTAATCTATATCCTTTTGTAATTTACACAATCTGCATGAGTTGTTGTACTGGAGTTTCTTCCCTTTATCTGACAGGCGCCTGAAGTGTCCCAGGTATAAGTATTAGCTTGCTGCTGTCCAGGGCAACGCCTTACTTTTTATATCTCCCTGTTTGTTTTTTTTATGTGGATGGAATGAGTATCACTTAAGAACCTAAACATTCAACCAATCAGTAAATTCTAAGATTTGTATACCTTTTTACAAAAAAAAGGGGGAATAAGAAATCTAAACACACACAATCATAATAATTCTAATAATCTTTTAAAATCATTAGTTTTCATGGGGCAAATTTTGTGTTTTTCCAAAAATATACATTTTCATTTACTTTTTATTTTTAACTTTAATCCCTGTCAACTTTCATCCATTTATTACTTTCTGGATTAATAAATTCATGGATTTAGAGTAACCACAAAATCGTGGAAAATAAAATCCGACAAAAATGAGTGATTTTACAGTATTGTAATGTATTACATAATTGATGATACAGTGTAATAGATATGACTCGTCCACAGAAGAAAGACAAACAGTATTTTTATTCTGCTAAGCACTATTATTGTCTAAGATTGCTTGGATTTCTAAACAATGACGTCACAAAATCCTACCCTACTCTTTGTCTGGTGATCACTAAAATGTTTAGGTTTTAGTGTGTAGATGTAGGCTGTTATATACAGTAGATTGCCTTGTATATTTAAATCATAGTTTAAGAACATATAGAAGTTTGTCTGCAAGTATTGTGCCAGACTTACAGCTTAAAGTGGTCTCATTTTCAAAGTAAAAACATAGAAGGTTGAATGTAATATATTTGCAATGCAAATTTTTTTTTCAATTTGACATTAAAAAAATGATGTTTCGGATATATCGAAGTGAAACAAAAGTTATACTGAATTGCCCAGGGAGCCAAATCAGTTCAAATTAACTGGTTAAAAAAAAATACACATCTCTTAATTTCTTTTCTGTTCAATTTACTCTCACGATTTTTGGTGATGGAGCCACAATCACAAAAATTACTGACTTCAAATTAAAAATAATAAAATGTACTTCATAGTAATGATAAGAATTTGTTTATTAATAAACATGATTATTTATATTGTGTGTAGTATGTCATGAATATTCATGTACAGTACATAGAGCTATATATATATGTAGTGTGTTTGGTTCTGTTGTTTAGTGTCAGGAAAGATTTAGTGATAACTATCAGATGGAGATCGCTAGTGTGTTTGAGTATAAGGACAGTGTCACCTGTATAGAAAGTTGTACAAGCTTTTAAATAATTCTGAATGACCTTCACATTGCTATCAAAACAGAAGCATGCAACACATAATGAATTTTGAAGTTAGTTTATTAGTCCCTTGACAGTGAAATCAGGATGGACTATAATAGATTTCTTCTCCATCCCTCTGTCCTTATGTCTGTCCATCTGTCCTTGTGTCTGTCCATCCATTTATCCCTGTGTCTGTGAAAATTTTTCAGCACTCTAGTGCCTTCATTCCCCGATGGATTCTCATCAAACTTCACAAACTTATTAAACATCAACTTATCTTGGACATGTTCAAGTTTAATGTATTTTGAGTCAGGGTCAAGGTCACTTAACATCTTAAGAAATCATTATCAGAGATCTAATGGCTTGATTCCCTGAGGGATTCTCATCAAACTTTACAAACTTATATTACATCAAATTATCTTGTACTACATCTTGTTTCAGGGTTGTTGGTAGAAATTAAAGGTCAATGTTTCTGTTTTTAGCAAATTTATAAATCATTACAGTTTGATAGCTTTTGGGGACCAGTTTGGGACATGTATTGCTTCAGCAGTACTTTGTATGCTTGTTCATCAGGATAATATGTACCATATTTACAATAGTCATATTGCCACAAACTTGTTGTATTGCTGAAAAAGTCATTAGCCACAAAGGAAGCTAGTTTACAGTATCATGTTAAGTGTACACATGAAACAGGACAAAATTTAGAGAATGTTGGGTCTCAACCAACTAGGTATATTCTGAAAATCTGTGATTGATAAAGAACAATATATTACTATATTTTTACTATGACATATACAAGCTAGCTTAAAGTATAGAACTTTGTGATATAGATAACCAGGTAAAACAATTATACTGTCTAGCTAACATTTTGGTTTCCAATTCTTGTCACTGCTTGTTTTGTTTACACACGATAGTTATCTGATTTTAAAACTCTTACAATGACCTTGTAATCTATCCCATATATTTCTCACTTTTAAACGATGAAAGATTAGACAATAATGATCTGATAAAATCAGGATTTGTTTGAAGTTTTATCATTTTTCCAAATCCTGAATTATTTAGAAGAATAGTAACCTAACTCCAGTTTGTGATTAACACAATGATCATCAGTACACAAGTCAGACAATTCTGTCATTATATAAGTAAATAGGACCACATTTGTCAAGTAGAGCCTTCAGGCCGCTACATAATAATAAAGATTAGCCTCAAAGTATATTAATTGTCAAAAAAAATGAAAAATATGGGATGGATGTTAAGACTTTCAGCGAAAATCACTATTTTTTTTCTCTTTTAAATGCTTGGAAATTGTAAAAGTACACATTGCTTCCCTTGTTCAGATTTAGCATCCTTAATTCTGACTAACCCCTGTAAAAAACAGCCATGTTATATGGCACAGTGGGTCAGTATTATTGACTGGTACATAGACTGCTGACAGACACGGACAGTGGTCAGTATTATTGACTGGTACCTTGACTGCTGACAGGCACGGACAGTGGTCAGTATTATTGACTGGTATGTTGACTGCTGACAGACACGGACAGTGGTCAGTATTATTGACTGGTACCTTGACTGCTGACAGACACGGACAGTGGTCAGTATTATTGACTGGTACGTAGACTGCTGACAGACACGGACAGTGGGTCAGTATTATGACAGACACGGACAGTGGGCAGTATTATTGACTGGTATGTTGACTGCTGACAGACACGGACAGTGACTCAGTACTATTCACTTCTACGTTGACTGCAGACTGGCATGGACAGTGGTCAGTATTATTGACTGGTACGTAGACTGCAGACGGACACGAACAGTGGGTCAGTATTATTGACTGGTACCTTGACTGCTGACAGGCACGAACAGTGGTCAGTATTATTGACTGGTACGTTGACTGCAGACAGGCACGGACAGTGGTCAGTATTATTGACTGGTACGTTGACTGCAGACCAGCACGGACAGTGGCTCAGGAGTATTGACTGGTACGTAGACTGTAGACCAAAACAGACAGTGGCTCAGTACTATTAACTTGTACGTTGACTGCAGACTGGCACGGACAGTGGGCAGTATTATTGACTGGTACGTTGACTGCAGACCAGTAACGAACAGTGGGTCAGTATTATTGACTGGTACGTTGACTGCAGACAGACACGGACAGTGGGTTTCTATTATTGACTGGTACGTTGGCTGTAGACTGGCATGGACAGTGGTCAGTATTATTGACTGGTACGTTGACTGCAGACCAGTAACGAACAGTGGGTCAGTATTATTGACTGGTACGTTGACTGCAGACAGACACGGACAGTGGGTTTCTATTATTGACTGGTACGTTGGCTGTAGACTGACACGGACAGTGGGTTTCTATTATTGACTGGTACGTTGGCTGTAGACTGACACGGACAGTGGTCAGTATTATTGACTGGTACGTAGACTGCAGACCGACACGGACAGTGGGTTTCTATTATTGACTGGTACGTTGGCTGTAGACTGACACGGACAGTGGTCATTATTATTGACTGGTACGTTGACTGCAGACCAGTAACGGACAGTGGTCAGTATTATTGACTGGTACGTTGGCTGTAGACTGACACGGACAGTGGTCAGTATTATTGACTGGTACGTTGACTATAGACCAGTAACGGACAGTAACTCAGTATTATTGACTGGTACGTTGACTGTAGACCAGTAATGGACAGTGGGTCAGTATCATTGACTGGTACGTTTAAAAGAACGGACAATGGGTCAGTATTATTAACTGGTACATTGACTGTAGACCGACACAGACAATAGGTCAGTATTATTGCCTGGTACGTTGACTGCAGACTGGCATGGACAGTGGGTCAGTATTATTAACTGGTACTTTGATTGCAGACAGACACGGACAGTGGTCAGTATTATTGACTGGTACGTTGACTGCAGACTGACACGGACAGTGGGTCACTATTATTGACTGGTACTTTGATTGCAGATATTTCCTGAATCTATTACTGTACAAGAAATCTTAATTTAAACATTGTGACAATTTATTTTTCAATGTTTCTGTTGATAAAATTTGCTTCATTCTATTTTTACATTAGTTTTCAGACAAACTTTCATTACATTAAGTTTTTATAAATGATGAGAAATGTGAACTATTTTCAGGTCTGAAATAAATATTTTTCATGAAATTTTGTCATGGTGCATGAATTGAAGTATTAACACATGTCGGTATAATGGTGTTAGATTTTTTACTTCTCTGGCAGGGAATATTGGGTTCGGTAAAGTTTTGGGTATAAGGTGTTTTATGCAGGTAAAAGGCAGTCTAACAGATGGTTCAGGTAAAGGATGATCCAGGTAAAAAGCATGTTTAAAGAATGTTTAGGTAAAAGGTGTATCTAAATAGTTGTGGAGGTAAAAGGCATGCCTAAAACAACGTTCAGATAAAGTAGTGGCTGAAAAATCGTTCAGGTAGAAGGCTTGCCTAAAACATCGTTCAGATAAAAGTCGTGTCTGAAAAATCGTTCAGGTAAAAGGCATGCCTAAAAAATTGTTCAGATAAAAGTTGTTATTTCAAATTTCTCTTTGCATGTATGATCTTTTGTGATCTACCAAGAATTTAGAAAAATTACAGCTGATAATATTTTCAACATAAAGTTATGAAAAAATATGAAAATTTTTTTTTTTTTGTTATGGAATTAAAATGATCATTTGTACAAAACTGAGATAAAATGAATACAGTTTCATATGACAGTGAGGAGAAAATTCTTATTTTTATTTTGGAGTGTGAGACAATTTAAGTTGTATGTATACGTTTCATAACTGAACTCAGGTGAGTTAAATAGATCCAATGTTGATGTTTATTGATCAATAACATTTTATCATGTGACATGTGGACTGTTCCTTAGATTTACTGATGCAGATTAAGTGTGTTATACTGTAGAATTAGAAATTGGACGGTCTGATGGAATGGGCAGAGTTTGAGAAGATATAACAGCAAATATGGCTTAATCGGATCAAATACATTGTACTACTCTGAATTAACGAGATAAAATCAGTTACATATAAAATTTTGAGAACTTCTGTGTGTAATAGTGGTTTTTATTTCAGACAAAGGACAACAGTAGCACTGCAGACTTTGTAACGAAGATGAATTCCCTCAAAACTCATGATGCTTTCACCAAGATTTTGTTCTCCTCTTATGTCAAGAAGGTAAAGCACCCTACAGTGTATCACATGATATCAAGAAAAGTTCATGTAAACAGTCAAGATTGTACAATATCAACTATAAACAGTGTGACATCATTAAGTTTAGGTACACAAGAATGTATGACATCATTATTTATACAAAGTTGTGACATCATTAAGTTTAGGTACACATGAATGTAGGACATCATTATTTAAACACAAGTGGGTGTGATATCATTATATTCAGATATGCAGTTTAGGACTGAACAAATATTGACCAAGACTTTCTGTTCTTGTGCAATGAGTTGTATCATATGGTGTAGTTATACTGTTTTATAAGAGTTGTTTCCCCTATAACAGGTAAACAAGCACAACCAGCAGGCTGAGCGAGCAGTAGCAGTAACAGACAAGTTTATCTATAAGCTGGACCCTCATAAAAAGTTTAAACCCATGAAGAAAGGCATACCAACAGCTGATGTAAGACTTCACTGCTGAACCTGATCGGTGTCCTGTACAGTTATCATGTCTAACTGTATACCTACCATAGAGTTATCTAAGATTTATAGTCCTGGAAAATCTTCCCCCTTTTAAGAACTGAGTGTATTTTTATTTTATTAAAGTAACAAAACAACATTCAGTTATTATAAATGAATTTCTTTATTGCATTCATGAGAAACTTCAGTTTTACCATATGTTCCAGTGGTGCAAATAGTGAAAGTGATTGTAACCCTTTGAGTATTGAGGATGTGTATAGAATTGATCCTTGTCTTGTTTTCAAGGTCACCGGTCTAAGCATAACCGCTGACTCCGACCAGCTGGTGGTCATTCACCTTAATGGGGGAAATGACCTGGTCATCTGTCTGTCCAGTCCAGGCAAGGAGGAACGAGTCGGCGAATTTGTCGGTACACTCTGCAGGTTTTGGCAATTGTGAGTATATACTAAGCTCTTTGTGTTTTTGAGAAATATCTGAGATGTGGAACTTTAAAATATTTGCTGTAATTTCGTACCTTAAGATTATAAGTGTTGAAAATATAGCTTGATTTCAAGTGTTGACAGTATAGTTTGAAATTTTTTTATAATTTGTTTTCATCAGGAAAGGCAAAGAACTAAAGGTTACCATATCCAAACCCATCTCATGCATGTTGGGAAACAAGAGACGTCAGGTAGCAATACGACCAGCTGCTGCTACCAGTACACCAATGTTTCGTAAAGAGGGCGCTGACCTAGCCCTACACTGGCCGGAAGCTTAAAAGTCTCAATTAACAGTCAGATTTTCATGGCTTTCAGATAAACTGTGATATTTTTCACACTCCTAGATATTCATAAATTCTATTTAAGAATGTATAATGTTTGTTTACCAATGTTTAGATGTATAAAATAAACTGGTCATTACCCAATGGATGTATAGGATGCTTGCTTTCACTTATTCTTAAGGACAATGTTTATAGGTAAACTAAAACGTAAATAAGTCCTGATAGAGCAAAGATCCTGGTTTATGATCAAGATTCAGTATTCTAAAAAACAAAAAAAACATTTGTGTTCAACAGTTGACATATTAAAGATATGTCTTTCATCTGCTACTTAGCACTAAGTTTTTGTCTAAAATTGTAAAATGGAGATATATCGGTGATCAAAGCTTTGGTCTGACAAAAGTATATAACAGATCTACAGATTGACTATTTTGAATTGAAAATATGGCAATATATGTACATTTAAGTATCTTGCCAATATGTTTTAAGCTGGTACTACAGTTGGAAGATCTGTGTCTTGTACATGGGTGTAGCTTTGTTAGAAGATGTGTACATTTTTGATAGAACACATTGTTTTTATGAATCTTTGTTAGGACATATTATTCTTTATAAAACTTTGTATTCAATTTGATAATACATAAAAGTGAAATTGTTTGTTTTATTTATTATAAATCGATATCAAGATTGAACTTTTGATTTTTGTTTTGTTATATCTGGTGCAGTATGTGGTTTAACTCTGGAAAACAGTGGTGCCAGTGTGTTTTAACAAAATCAATAATAATCTCTATTGCTTGGTCACATGTCATGGTACAGAATGGGAAACAAGGGTTTCATTTGTGATACTGTTGACTTGCTAATATTCAAGGGGATTTAATTTCATGCTTTTTGCAGTTTATAAAGATAGCTCAAAATGAAATGTCCAGCAAACATTATAACAGAGAATTAAAACCTCAGAAAATATTTTACTGTTTAAAAGGATACGGACTGATATATGTATGGGTGTTTTCCCCCTATATAGGCCCAGGAAAAATTCTTATGCTAATTATTTTTTCCTCCTGTTTAAATAAATCATTTGAAGGAAAGAAGGATTTGGCATATTTCTTATACAGAATGGCTATTTTACCCACAACAAATTTACTTTATCAGGAAAATTGTTTTTTGAATAGTCTGTAGAGACTGAACAATTGATAAGGGGATTGTGATCTCTATAGGAGGACTTGAGGTTAAATTGAATTTAAATTTTTTTTTCATCGTTTAGAGGACACTCTCATCTTAGATTTTTTTTTAATGAAAACATAAATGTGTTCAACCTTACCTATATACATGTATGTTGATATTTTTTTATGGTATAGAAGTATAATCAAGTTGTGTGAGAGGTTTTTGTATCCTGATAATTATGACAGACATATCCATCCATACGTATGTAGTGCCTGTTAAATTTGTATACCAACAAAAACTTAAATCCCAGTTGTGATTTCAAACGATGGCTATGAAATAAAATATTCTGTTGGAAAACTTTCAGAAAGTGGATTCTGATAGGTTCTGATAACAGCAAGTAGTAAAAATGTGAAATTTTTATATAATTGTTGAGAATGACGGTCTTGTACACGTTAAAAGGTCTTGTAAGCGTTAAAAATAATATTTCTACATATATAAACTTTATTTAGTAATATTTATTTCACTACAAACCAAGCTGACAGCTTAAATTGAAAACTCTTGCTGGCTCAGATAGAAGCATGGAAAGGACTGGGAGGGAACAGTGTCCCTAGGGAAAATCCTCTTGTTGAACACGTGACCAACATACTTTCATTGTCCAGTAAATCAAACTCCAGTCACCTATGTGTTATTTGTGTGATACCTGCACATTCTGAAGTTTGAAATTTTCCTGATAAATTTTCTGGCCAGGTTATGTTTTAGATTTGTTGTTTGTTAGTATATTGAAATAAATTTACTGAGAAATCACATGTTGTGCCTTTAAATTGTGAAACACTGGGATAAAAAATTGTGATAATATTAAAACATTTACATTTTATTTTTGTGCAAAATTTCCTTTTGTGATCTTAAGAATATGCTGTAAAGATGGGGGACCAGACAGATCCAAGCTCATTACCATGTGGAAAAAATGTTGCGAGCGTTTCATCTTAAGCATTTTTGGTGGAATGTGTAGTCATTGATATGGTAAATTGTTACAAAAAAATGGCCTGAAGAATCCGAAGATGGCCTAATGGTCAGTCTCTTTTGAGATGTTTCATTTCAATTTCCCTTACAAAGACATTTTTAGAGCTACTTTAAATTTACATTATATTTTCCAAAGCTTGCATTTTGTAAAATCTTGGTTAAAGGCTTGTAAAAACAGTTTACCATCAAACAACATGGCCCTGTTGATGGTGAATATCCCTTAACTATGTCTATTTTTGTAAGTATGAACAAAGTAACGTATTGATATATATGGTATATGAATATGCATGAATGTGGCTCTATTATTGGCTTATGATATACTATCACAACATTATCACTATTAATAAAATTACTGACATGTATTTATAAAATTTTTCTTGTGATTGAAGAACTATTTTTAGTTGATGGAGAGTGAAATCCTTTTGTTTGCATGTTTTTTCCCTTGATTGTCCAGCTGATCAAAGAAAACTTTCAAATGGATGTTTTTTTTGTTGGTGAAATGAATAAACTGGAAATATTTCCGTTGAGAATATCTTGAAAATTGACAATCGAAACAATTCTACCTAACTATGAAACCTGTGGAAGTCTGTTCCTAACTCTCCTTTGTGAATCATGGATCAAAATCTCTACATGAAATATAAGTGTCGTGTTTCAGCTCTGGAGGTCGATACCTGTCCGAATATATTTCCAACAACACTGCGATCACTTGGAGAGAATTGTCATTATAGTCAAAAAATCAGGAGTGATTAACTCACAATAAAATTAATATTTTGCTGAAAAATTACCATGGAGAAAAGGACAAAATTCCATATGACGTGCATTTCAACCAACAAACTTCCATCATTAGTACTTTAACAGTAGGACTGCTCCGAAATTATCATAGTTGGACGTTTTGTGGCACATGACAGAAGCTCAGACTTATATTTTGATCCTAGAAGTTTTGTAACAAGTTCTTAATTGTTGCTGTTTATATGAGGTAGTGGAAATTATGTGTATATATTGAGATGTGTAAAACAAATGGAAAATTTTGGTGACAAAGATGGAGGCGTTCTGATGGGAGATAAACAGGAAATTAGACCACTGATGAAAGAGATCAATCTTTTTTATAATGTAGTTGTTGCATTTCAACAGATATTTGCATTTCAATATTCAATATTTGTATCTATAATTAAATTTAGCATGGAGACAAACGTTTCCTGTAGAATTACAGAGAGCTGGTAAAATTTCTATTTTCCTCGTAGGAATTTGTTTCTATGTGAAGACTGTGTTCTTACTGCTCTTATGAATCCGTGTGAGAATGTTCAATTCACCTGAAGTGCTATTTTCCCGTTTTGTTGTCTCAATGGTTGAATTTTCAATGAAAGATCTGTTACAGGAGTTTTTTTTAATTGGTTAAGGGAAATCTGCTGTTTTCTTAAGCTTTTTTCACAACTTTATAAAACGTATGTTAATATTGCATACATTTCTACTTTGTTTAAAAGTGATCTATTGATTTTTTTTGCAATGTTATTCATTGACAATATGTATACCTATATACATTCATTATTAAATTTATTTAAAAACAGACAAGTTGTTTTGTTGTAATTAAAGGGATTTGCCATGATTTCACATTTAGTCTAGAAAAAATGATGCAGTTAAGTAAATACTGATACATCTCTACAAGCGCACGGAAGACTGAAGTAGCACGTTATACGTTTGTCAGGTGGAGATGTAGGTTTTGGCAGCCAAAATGATGTCAGGTTGCAAAAATCAGTCCAGCAGAGAATACCTAGGTCCCCTCACAGGCATGTAAGCAGTGACCCTCAGCTACTTGTCTATTGTATATAATATTCAACAATACACCAACATACATACTAGTCTAGCCATGTCCATGGTAACCAGACATACCCACTATGTATCTACATACATACTAGTCTAGCTGTGTCCATGGTAACCAGGCATACCCACTATGTATCTACATACATACTGGTCTAGCTGTGTCCCTGGTAACCAGGCATACCCACTATGTATCTACATACATACTAGTCTAGCTGTGTCTATGGTAACCAGACATGCCCACTATGTATCCACATACATACTAGCCTGGCTGTGTCCCTGGTAACCAGACATACCCACTATGTATCTACATACATACTAGTCTAGCTGTGTCCCTGGTACAGGGGTGTAACCAGACATACCCACTATGTATCTACATACATACTAGTCTAGCTGTGTCCCTGGTACAGGGGTGTAACCAGACATACCCACTATGTATCCACATACATACTAGCCTGGCTGTGTCCCTGGTACAGGGGTGTAACCAGGCATACCCACTATGTATCTACATACATACTAGTCTAGCTGTGTCCCTGGTACAGGGGTATAACCAGACATACCCACTATGTATCTACATATATACTAGTCTAGCTGTGTCCATGGTAACCAGACATACCCACTATGTATCTACATACATACTAGCCTGGCTGTGTCCCTGGTACAGGGGTGTAACCAGACATACCCACTATGTATCCACATAAATACTAGTCTAGCTGTGTCCCTGGTACAGGGGTGTAACCAGACATACCCACTATGTATCCACATACATACTATTCTAGCTGTGTTCATGGTAACCAGACATACCCACTATGTATCTACATACATACTAGTCTAGCTGTGTCCCTGGTACAGGGGTGTGACCAGACATACCCACTATGTATCCACATCATTTTTAGCTCACCTGGACCCAAGCCTGAAGGGTTAGGTCAGATGGCATACTGCAGTGTCCTCCCTTCATTTTTTCTGCCATTATCTACTAATGCTAACGACTGGACTGACTTTGACCAATTTGGCCGGGAACATTTTTGGGGAAAGGAGGTGAAACAAAGCAATTCTTCAAAATCCTTCTATAGGAATGGCAGGATTCTATCTAAATTTAGTCTAAAGCATCCTGTGGTGAAGGCTTGTATAAATTGTTTGGCTGACCCTCTCGGGGTTGAGGGGTGGGGACATCTATATAACCCTTCAGAATTTCTTCTGTGTAGATAAAGCAGTTCTAGCCAAGGCCAGGTGAGTGATACAGGCACTTTGGACATCATGTCCTGCTCTCTTTCTTTTTCATTAGTAATCATATGGACGTTTAATTAAGTTTATTGAAGCTGTGGTGAATAATTCACATTAATATAGATGTTGATGTAAATTATAGGCGTTCTCTGGTTGATCCTGAAATTATTGACTATAAGAAAACATCCTTTAAAAGCAGGGACGTATAAATCTGTTTTATATGTCTATGGTTAAAAGTTACACATCATTACTAATACAGCTTGTACATGTTTACATAGATCTGTACATGTATGTAAGAGAAAGACTTTCGAAATAATCAACTTTTATCGTTTAGATGTAAGATTATGTCTTGAATTTAGAAACGTGATATTTTAAAATCCTTTATTTTTCAACTATTTTGGTTGAACTATCGATATAGATATTAAGGACAAGTACACAGAAAAGACTAGTTACACATGTAGGTCTGTGTTGGGATAATTTGTCGGGCGAGAACGGTGTTGTCCGAAAAGTGTCGGACAAGTACGGTGCTGCCCAAGAAGTTTCGGGCGAGAACGATGTTGCCGGAGAAGTGTCGGACAAGAACGGTGTTTCCCGAGAAGTGTCGGGCGAGAACAGAATTGCCCGAGAAGTGTCAGGCGAGAACGGAATTGTCCGAGAAGTGTCGGGCGAGAACGATGTTGCCGGAGACGTGTCGGACGAGAACGGTGTTTCCCGAGGATTGTCGAGCGAGAACGGAGTTGCCCGAAAAGTGTCGGGCGCGAACGATGTTGCCGGAGAGGTTTCGGGCGAGAACGGTATCGCCGGCGTCAATTTATGATTATGTTTTACTTGATTTAAATTGAAGCTTAAACATTTCTTTTTTGAAAGGAATCATGAAATATTTTGATGAAATAAAGACAAATTAAGATGTTAAAAGTGTAAATGATTCCATACATTACTGGTTCATGCAGTTGGTTTTGTCATTAACACCGGAGCGTCTATTTTTTTTTTTCAGTATTCGCACAATTAATCATAATCGTGACGTGCTACAAATACAGAACTATATGTATAATGTATGACGTCAGACATTAATTAACTAGTTGTATTTTATTGAAATATATTGAACAGGTTACTAGTTAAAATCGCGAATCATTTATGTATCATTCGTGATACAATAAGCCAGTAATATACCGGTATTAGCTTTCTTTTCTTCCCTGTCCGGAATGGATGGTTTGTCAACATCTGTACTTAAGAAAGCTACAATGGCTGTTTGATCGAGAACGACTAAGTGTACTAAATGGCAGTATAACCTAATGTTCTCATTAAAACAGGATATATTGAATTGTTCTACAGAAAGCAGATACAGTGGTACAAACTGTACACTTAGACAAACCTGCCTACCGAAAGGCAACACAGTGAAACAAAAAGGCGCCATGCTAAACTTGAAAAGTCTCTCCTTTTTCGCACAACATTTGTCGTCTTTTCGTATTTTCGAGTTTGATATAACCAAAGCAAAAACTTGCCCAATGTCGTCATTTTATTTTATGAAAAGAAAAGGCGACATTCAGTGGGTTTAGCGTAAGAATAACCCCTGAGTATTGAGGATGGTTCTAGAGGTACAGAGAGTAACAGTGTGCGGAACCCCTGGAGTATCGAGGATGGTTCGAGGGGTGCAGAGAGTGAAAGTGATAATAACCTCAAGATTGTTGAGGATGGTTATAGGGGTGTAGAGAGTGATAGTGGTTGTGACCCCTGGAGTATCGAGGATGGTTCTAGGGGTACAGAGAGTGATAATGAACGTAACCCCTAGAGTATTGAGGGTGGTTCTAGGGGTACAGAGAGTGATAGTGGCTGTAACCCCTGGAGTATTCGAGGATGGCTCCAAGGGTGCAGAGAGTGAAAGTGACTGTAACCCCTGGAGTATCGAGGATGGTTCTAGGGGTACAGAGAGTGATAATGAACGTAACCCCTGAGTATTGAGGATGGTTCTAGAGGTACAGAGAGCGATAGTGAGCGTAGCCCCTGGAGTATTGAGGTAGGTTCTAGGGGTACAGAGAGTGATAGTGGCTGTAACCCTTGGAGTATTCGAGGATGGCTCCAAGGGTGCAGAGAGTTAAAGTGACTGTAACCCCTGGAGTATCGAGGATGGTTCTAGGGGTACAGAGAGTGATAATGAGCGTAACCCTAGAGTATTGAGGATGGTTCTAGGGGTGCAGAGAGTAACAGTGTGCGGAACCCCAGGAGTATCGAGGATGATTCGAGGGGTGCAGAGAGTGAAAGTGATAATAACCTCAAGATTGTTGAGGATGGTTATAGGGGTGTAGAGAATGATAGTGGTTGTGACCCCTGGAGTATCGAGGATGGTTCTAGAGGTACAGAGTGTGATAGTGAAAGTAACCCCTGGAGTATCGAGGATGGTTCCAGGGGTGTACAGAGAGCGATAGTGACTGTAACCCCTGGAGTTTGGGGGATGGTTCTAGAGGTACAAAGAGTGATAGTGAGGGTACCCCTGGAGTATCGAGGATGGTTTCACGGGTGTACAGAGAGCGATAGTGACTGTAACCCCTGGAGTATCGAGGATGGTTCCCGGGGTGTACAGAGAGCGATAGTGAGCGTACCCCCTGGAGTATCGAGGATGGTTCCAGGGGTGTACAGAGAGTGATAGTGACTGTAACCCCTTGAGTATGGAGGATGGTTCTAGAGGTACAGAGAGTGATAGTGACTGTAACCCCTTGAGTATGGAGGATGGTTCTAGAGGTACAGAGAGTGATAGTGACTGCAACCCCTGGAGTTTGGGGGATGGTTCTAGAGGTACAGAGAGTGATAGTGAGCGTACCCCCTGGAGTATGAGGATGGTTCTAGAGGTACAGAGAGTGATAGTGAGCATAACCCCTGGAGTATGGAGGATGGTTCCAGGGGTACAGATTGAGATAGTGAGTATCGAGGATATAGTGCTTTGAACTTAACGTCTCAATCATTGAATTTAGAATAAATAAATAAATCGCTACGAATATTATCCATGCAAATTAAAGCTAATATCGCCGGATACACGTGGGGTTTGTTTCATCTGATTTGCCTTTGTTTTCGATGTTTACAGTCTTTGCTACACATAACAAGAACAACTCGTTGTCAGTATGTTAGAAAGGTCTTAAAGTACACACTAACAAGATGTTTTGTTATCACACCAATAGTAAGTGAGAGATACTTTGTTGTGTCCTTGCCTTGATGTTTAGTGACTTCAGGTGCAATAAACAATCACAGGTACCTGTGTGGAGGTTGTGTATCATATATATATTATATATATATACTACAGATACCTGTCTGTAGGATGTGTTCTCGTGTATCGTATATATATATATACTACAGGTACCTGTCTGTAGGATGCGTTCTCGTGTATCGTATATATATATACACTACAGGTACCTGTTTGTAGGATGTGTTCTCATGTATCGTATATATATATATATATATATATATATATATACAGGCACCTGTTTATAGGATGTGTTCTCGTGTATCGTATATATAGTACAGGTACCTGTCTGTAGGTTGTGTATCGTATATATACTACAGGTACCTGTCTGTAGGATGTGTTCTCGTGTATCGTATATATATATATATATACACTACAGGTACCTGTCTGTAGGATGTGTTCTCATGTATCGTATATATATATATATATATATATATATATATATAGGATGTGTTCTCGTGTATGTATATATGTACAGGTACCTGTGTAGGTTGTGTATATATATATACTACAGGTACCTGTCTGTAGGATGTGTTCTCGTGTATCGTATATATATATATATATATTACAGGCACCTGTTTATAGGATGTGTTCTCGTGTATCGTATATATAGTACAGGTACCTGTCTGTAGGTTGTGTATCGTATATATACTACAGGTACCTGTCTGTAGGATGTGTTCATGTATCCATGTATCGTATATATATATATATATATTACAGGTACCTGTTTATAGGATGTGTTCTCGTGTATCGTATATATATATATATAGTACAGGTACCTGTCTGTAGGTTGTGTATCGTATATATATATATATATATACACTACAGGTACCTGTCTGTAGGATGTGTTCTCGTGTATCGTATAACTGTCTGTAAGATGTGTTCTCATGTATCGTATATATATATATATATATTACAGGCACCTGTTTATAGGATGTGTTCTCGTGTATCGTATATATATATATATATATATACTACAGGTTGTGTCTGTATATATATATATATATATATATATATATATATATATATTACAGGTACCTGTTTATAGGATGCGTTCTCGTGTATCGTATATATATATACACTACAGGTACCTGTTTGTAGGATGTGTTCTCATGTATCGTATATGTATGATGTGTTCTCATGTATCGTATATATATATATACTACAGGTACCTGTTTGTAGGATGTGTTCTCGTGTATCGTATATATATACTACAGGTACCTGTCTGTAGGATGTGTTCTCGTGTATCGTATATATATATACACTACAGGTACATGTTTGTAGGATGTGTTCTCATGTATCGTATATGTATGATGTGTTCTCATGTATCGTATATATATATATATACTACAGGTACCTGTCTGTAGGATGTGTTCTCCTACACTATATATGTATCCTATATATATAGCACACAAACTGCGATAGTTTTTTTTTATGATTTTAGCTATTTTTACATACTATGTACAATGTACCGATTTCATCAGCTGGATCAGTATTATGAAATTATATCACCAAAGACAAAAAAGCGACATTACGGAAGAGGATTTTGACAAATCACGGTAATTCGCTCCGATATCAGGACAAAATACATTTTGTTTTCCAGTGTTTATATAATTCCTCTAATCTAAAAGAAAGTGGGAGAAAAGAGAATAAACCGTTTATAGCTATCTATAGAAAAAAAAACCGATAATCGTCAGATATTAACTGTAGGCTACATAGTCCTATTGTGTTACACAACAGGTTCACATTATACAGAAAAACAACAACAACAACAACAACAACAACAACAACAACAACAACAACAACAACAACAACAACAACACAAACAAGGAAAAACTGACTGGAATTCTAGATAATCGATTTCCGTGCTTGTACAACCAATCCGTTTATAACACACGAAAAAATATCGTTTAAATGTAATATCCAGATATGTAAAATGTCTGTTTTATCTACGACCTTTCTATGTAACACAAAATTATACACTTGTGTAGTTTTCCGCTTATTAGAAACTACTTTGGTTTTACTTATATCTACCTCTGGTTTCTATATATCACAGTTCCGTTATATTATCTAAAGCATTTTGCATACATTCTGGTGTTTCCGAGAGTATAACGATGAAGTTTTTATATTTGTAACTTATCAGTTAATTTATCTCCTACAGTTTCAAGGGAACTAACTCCTGCAGACTCTATACTTTTTTCCTCTATGACGAACGCCGACTAGACGAGAACGATATTGAATGGGACTTCGGTATCCATGCTATATCTTTTTATTGAATAAGTAACTGTTGATAGAAGTACATATTATCTCTATCATCATTGATATCCACACTATTTAGGATAATGTTTCACCTGTTACAATGTAATAAGATATTATCACACACAGATTTGGCACTAAAATCCCCAGTCAATGTCATGTTTTGCTTATTAACGGATACATCGTCTTCTGTTTCAATAAAATCATTTCTGGTGTATATCTGGTACAAACTGAGGGGATATATACACATACAAACAGCTTTCTCTTAATGATGTAGTGATGTTATTCATTTTATGAAATGCAATTTGCCGGTCTGATGATCCAATGTATTGAGTAATACAATTCTCATATTTCTGACAAAAAACAGATTAGGTCGACACGCTCTGGACAGGGATCATGTAAAAAAATATCCTATTTCAGTATTTACATAATTTTAAGCACACGTAGATCCCTAGAGAATTGATGTCAACCGCACCCATTTATCTGTAAGTCATGTTTGTACTCAAAATTATATCACAAGTTCACCAGTCGGATTTACATCATCATTAATCTTAATACCTTGGCAGACAAAAGACTTGTATACGTCCTCTCTATACTCATCTTTTAACAATAACTCCAACACATGACTGCCGCTAGCCAGTAGTGGACAATAGAGTGTCACCCGGCGTTTATTACGAAATATAAAGACAAGAATGCATATCTTTACAAACTTGGACATTTTTCATAACTCCACAAACGACTCTTACACCCGCATACATTCCGCCCAGGAATAGCTTGAGTAGATAAAGAGCTAAGCGAGCCACTCAACCTGAACACCTATCAGGAAAACAGGAAGTGTACCAACCCTCAATACTTAAAGCTCAGCGCGCAGGATTTTTAACAACTCAAAGCCATTCCGTACTGAAATAAATACAGTTAAAAATGTAATACTTGGCAAAATTTTTCTTGACTGTACTTGTGGGTGTCCACGGCTAGAATGCCCGATACCTCGCCTACCCTTACACACTTTCTTAACTTGCACGTGCGGACAACGCGTCGCACTGCCATTGGACCATACAACTCTCACGAAGATACCCGAATACCGTACCTATAGGACAATTATTTTCCGCTATTCTCCGAAACGCGGAAAATATGAAAGTCCTCTCTATACTCATCTCCTAACAATAGCTCCAACACATGACTGCCGCTAGCCAGTAGTGGACAATAGACTATAAAAGAACGGGCGATAAGATAAAAAAAGGTTGAACAAATGCTCAAATGCCTAAACGCCTAACAAAACGAATAGCTCGAACACATTTAAAGACCTAACTTCTGAGTAACCTGCAGCCTACGGGCCAAGGAATCAGCGACATAACCGTCCTTAGCGACGTCGGTTTCCCACCGCCCGTGCCTTTTCCAGCACCTGTCATTTACGTCGCTATTAGCCGCCTGCGTGGCGCCGCCCGCCCTTAAAGAATGTAATCCTAAATTCAGACCCCCGTCTATTTCCTTCAACCTCTGCACCACACACTCCCTTGCACGAGTATAACTAAGCGCCTTACATTTTAAAATTGGCTTACATACGCCTCCGCTACGTACGAAAGGTTTGAAAAGAAAGTCATTTGGTTCTAAGATATTGCTGAACTTTATATATCTTTCAAGCATTCGATACGGGCACGCCACAGTCTCTCCTTTTGAAATGACTACCTCACTCCCGAACCTATATTGATCAGTTTTACTCTTCTCAATATTAAGACTTACATACGTATCATTAAACGCAACATCCCTCATACGCAACCTGCTCAACTCGTCAAATCTGAGAAACCCTGCGAAGCTGACCACTATCATTGCCAAGTCTCTGACTATTAAAGCGTCATTACTGTCTTTATATTTCTTACAAAGTTGTATTAACAGTTCCGACGAGACACAGTCTTTCTTCACGCGCGGGGTCCTTTCCTGACGTTTGGCTGCTTCGACCATGTTTTTGACAAAACCGTTCTCTGTAGGATCAGGCAAGCTACTAATGCTGTGGGCCCATTTGATTGCATATACAGCGGCGTTAACGACGTTGTAAGAACTCCCTTTGTCCAACAGGTAAGACACATATAAGGCCACGTGTATTGGTTGGGCCTGTAATGCACACGCGTGCTCTCGCACAATAAAATCCTCCCACTTCCGGAAATATGAAAAGTATTTGGACACTGTAGATTCACTCCTGGCTTGCAGCAAATATTGGGACATTTTTCCAGATAACTTAAGTAACCGTGGAGAAAATATGAAAATAGGCACTACTAAAATATGTGACAGGCTGGAATATATGGATAAAAAAAGTTTGTGATAAATACATAAAATGTAACGAGGAGACCACATTCTTCAGATTAGTGGTATATCTGTAAAAATGTATGTCTCAACATATATGGTCTGTTACCACATACGTCAGGTTAGTGGTATATCTGTTAAAATGTATGTCTCAACATATATGGTCTGTTACCACATACGTCAGATTAGTGGTATATCTGTTAAAATGTATGTCTCAACATATATTGTCTTTTACCACGTACGTCAGATTAGTGGTATATCTGTTAAAATAGATGTTTCCCCATATATTGTCTGTTACCACGTACTTCAGATTAGTGGTATATCTGTTAAAATATATTTCTCACAATATATTGTCTGTTACCACGTACGTCAGATTAGTGGTATATCTGTTAAAATATATGTTTCCCCATATATTGTCTGTTACCACGTATTTCAGATAAGTGGTATATCTGTTACAATGTATGTCTCAACATATATTGTCTTTTACCACGTACGTCAGATTAGTGGTATATCTGTTAAAATGTATGTCTCAACATATATTGTCTTTTACCACGTACGTCAGATTAGTGGTATATCTGTTAAAATAGATGTTTCTCACAATATATTGTCTGTTACCACGTACTTCAGATTAGTGGTATATCTGTTAAAATATATTTCTCACAATATATTGTCTGTTACCGCATGCTTCAGTTTAGTGGTATATCTGTTACAATGTATGTCTCATCATACATTGTCTGTTACCGCATGCTTCAGATTAGTGGTATGTCTGTAACAATGTATGTATCACCATATATTGTCTTACCACGTGCTTCAGATAAGTGGTATATCTGTTACAATGTATGTCTCACAATATATTGTCTGTTATCATATACGTCAGGTTAGTGGTATATCTGTTAAAATGTATGTCTCACCATACATTGTCTGTTACCACGTTCTATGAATTGTTGACTGTTTAACACATATATTCATTTATTTTCATGATAGCGCGTATTATTGAACGATTTGTTGCTCGGTAATTTCGGGTTTCCACTTTAGGAACTGTTGGTGTATAAATGGTTCCTCCAGTGTCAGCACTTTGTTAGTACTAAGATATACAATCAGCTGACACAATCGATCGCTAAGTTAGTAGTAGCATTTAGACACGCTAGACACATATATAGCTTTGACGTGTCAATAACGCCGAGAGTAACGAAACAGAACCTACTACATTGCCAGATGTGGCAACTGTCTAGATATATCTTAGAATATAGTATTAACACCACATTAGTAGAAACACAATACCATTACACTACACTGTAGTTTCACGTCTGCTGCGAACGTTTGGATTACATCACGTGCATATCGTTTCGTGTACGATTCATATCCCCGAGATATTCGTGGTAAGGAAGGGAAGGTTTTCAAGGGACATAACTGGTATAATAGTTATACACGTTCACAACCTTTAAAAGAGCTCACCAGACAGACAAATCGTTTGATTGGTTTGATCACAAGACAGACATAGCGTTTGATTGGTTTGATCACAAGACAGACAACCCGTTTGATTGGTTTAATCACAAAACAGACAGTGCGTATTTTTGAGTTCCTTTCGTTGGCTTGCTGTATTGAAAATACAATTCTATATTCGGGCTTTCGTTCCTTTGACTAAGACGGTTGTTCAGTATATTTTTTACAATAAATTGAAACATGGAATGCTTTTCAATCAATCACAATAACAGTTTGCAAGACTAAAGTTATAAAGACCTCATTCTTTGACCAACATGTGAACACGGCAGCCTGAATTCTGTCCGTGGACGCGACAGCTTATCTCTAATTCAGCTAAATAGAAGCATCTGTTTGTAACTTGGGCAAAGGAATTTACCGCCATGACTTTGAATGACATGCGGCGGTCCTCACGTAAGTTGTTCACTGATGTAACCTTAAGCTGCTACAAGATAGCATTATCTCCAAATTGGATGTTTATGGTGCTATAAACCCAGCACCTGGTACGACGATATTTATTACAAAACACGTTCTTCAGTTTACTATTCAAACGCGTTAATTTCTCTTCTTAGTTTAACTAGTATCTCACCTGACAGTATTTCTAACAGTTATTCTATAAACATAAAAGTCCAATAAAGTTCAATATGAAACATCAGTACAGACAGAAGACTCCATAAGGTGGTCAGCGACAGAACTGTTTAAATATAATCAAACAATCACCTTTCAATTCCGAATACACCATTTCAAGGACACTTGATATATCACGTGTTCTGTGTAGTTGTATATTCTGAGTGATATATCACGTGTTCTGTGTAGTTGTATATTCTGAGTGATATATCACGTGTTCTGTGTAGTTGTATGTACAGTGATATATCACGTGTTCAGTGTAGTTGTATATTCTGAGTGATATATCACGTGTTCTGTGTAGTTGTATATTCTGAGTGATATATCACGTGTTCTGTGTAGTTGTACATTCTGAGTGATATATCACGTGTTCTGTGTAGTTGTATATTCTGAGTGATATATCACGTGTTCTGTGTAGTTGTATATTCTGAGTGATATATCACGTGTTCTGTGTAGTTGTACATTCTGAGTGATATATCACGTGTTCTGTGTAGTTGTATATTCTGAGTGATATATCACGTGTTCTGTGTAGTTGTATGTACAGTGATATATCACGTGTTCTGTGTAGTTGTACATTCTGAGTGATATATCACGTGTTCTGTGTAGTTGTATGTACAGTGATATATCACGTGTTCTGTGTAGTTATATATTCTGAGTGATATATCACGTGCTCTGTGTAGTTATATTCCGAATGATATCTGAGTATTTGTCCCTTACCTAAAACAAATGTAGTACATGTATATCATGCCATTTCAGACGAGTAAGATATTGGTTCACGTTGGTATTCGTACTTCTATACAACTGATGCACAGGATCACCTTCCTCAGGAGATGACTAATGCTGTATGTTGTCAATGAAGCTATAAATAGAAAAAATCGATACAACGTGATGACTATATGAAGTCCGATGAGTCTCGTATGTACACAGACGTAAACCATGAAAGGCGTTTTCTTAATTAACGTGTATCAATAAGAAACGCTCTGACCTATACCAAACATCTGACTGCTGGCAGTGTCTCTCATACGAAAATTCGTCTATAAAGCTACCTATACATGCTAGTATTCACTTTTAGTAGATCGCTACAGTATATATTATTTGTCTTGGAGTGACCGTTATATTTGAAGTCATGGAAAATCGGACTAGATTCGTAAGGAAACCTGATTGAAATAAAAAAAATGTCGTTTTGGAAAGTATAACGGCATGACCTAGTTAATCGAAAAAAGGTTGATCACATCACAGAATGGGTTTACCAAGCCTGGACAGAAAGTCTGGGTATAACAGTAGTGGGCGGGATCACAATATCGAATAATACAGTAGTGGGCGGGGTCACACAACGGACAATACAGTAGTGGGCGGGATCACAATATCGGACAATACAGTAGTGTGCAGGGTCACAATCGTGGATAATACAGTAGTGGGCGGGGTTACAAAATTGGGTTAATAAGTAGTGGACGGGGACACACTAGTAGGTAATACAATAGTGACAGGTGTCACTCAGGTGAGATATTCACACTTTGTACCTGAGATGTAACTGTGGTGAGATATTCACAATTTGTACCTGAGATGTAACTGTGGTGAGATATTCACAATTTGTACCTGAGATGTAACTGTGGTGAGATATTCACAATTTGTACCTGAGATGTAACTGTGGTGAGATATTCACAATTTGTACATGAGATGTAACTGTGGTGAGATATTCACAATTTGTACCTGAGATGTAACTGTGGTGAGATATTCACAATTTGTACATGAGATGTCACTCTGGTGAGATATTCACAATTTGTACATGAGATGTCACTCTGGTGAGATATTCACAATTTGTACATGAGATGTAACTGTGGTGAGATATTCACAATTTGTACATGAGATGTAACTCTGGTGAGATATTCACAATTTGTACCTGAGATGTAACTGTGGTGAGATATTCACAATTTGTACCTGAGATGTAACTGTGGTGAGGTACATGAGATATTCACAATTTGTACATGAGATGTCACTCTGGTGAGATATTCACAATTTGTACATGAGATGTAACTGTGGTGAGATATTCACAATTTGTACATGAGATGTCACTCTGGTGAGATATTCACAATTTGTACATGAGATGTAACTGTGGTGAGATATTCACAATTTGTACATGAGATGTAACTGTGATGAGATATTCACAATTTGTTCATGAGATGTAACTCTGGTGAGATATTCACAATTTGTACATAAGATGTCACTCTGGTGAGATATTCACAATTTGTACATGAGATGTAACTCTGGTGATATATTCACAATTTCTACATGAGATGTCACTCTGGTGAGATATTCACAATTTGTACATGATTTCCGGACGAATAATGTGTTCATTATATAGACTGTGCTCGACCAGTATCCACCTCATCGCTCAAAGTTCTCCTGGGTCGTAAATGTCGCCATTAAATCGTTATTTCACATCCTTTATTTCGACAATTTTTTTAAAAGCGCAAAAATCGATAAGAACAAAAATAAATGAATCAGTTTATCAAAGAAACAATAAGTTAATTGATTGATAAATAAATATAACATAAGTCATCATTTTCTAATGCCAGGCCTTTTGACGATTGCTCCAGCTTGCAAACCATTTTTATTTTTTTTATACTACAATCGACTAATATTTGCGACGTGATTTTCAGCTTCAGTTTACTGTGCTTACATAAACCTTACTGTTCCGCTTTCCTGACTAAACTGGTTAATCTGCCAAAAACCTTAAAATGGACAAAATAATTAACAAGGTTTACTTAACTATGACATTGCCATGTTCATAATGACAAAAATACGTTTCAACAACATCC